GTGTGGAAGAACTTCATCTACATTTACACAGTTAGGCTTAAACTCCAAAATCTTCCCTACTGCTGAGATACAGTTCTCTGTAGAAATGACTTTTTTTTGTTTTGTTTTTGGAATTTGCACACTTAATAACTTTTACCAGCAGTGGGACAAATTCTGAACATAAAGAACGATAGTCATCTCCAGCAAATTGCCATGACACCCAGGCCGTATGCAGCAGCTTGACTTACTTCAAGGTTGTTATGTCGCATATTTAGAAGCATTGGCCACCAAAAATATTCTACATATTTACGTGAAGTTGAACTGCAGTGCTCTATGATGTCATCAAATATGCACGATTCCCTCTGTCTGGCCATGGTATACTTGAACAAATTAGATTTACAATTAATGGAAGTAGTTGTTCAAACCATGGTAAAATCTTTTCCTTATAAGTACTAAATAAGTGTGCAAAATATCTGATACTTTGGTCAGAATATAAATGTCACATTCATCCTCATCTTGCAGAGACATCTCAACCTATTGATCTGTGTTTTCTTCCTGTCTTCTAACCTGTCTCAATTCTTGGTTTTAAAGTGCCCTGAGGTTTTGCTTTCAGTATTCCTCTCAGTTCTTCCAAGAGTTCATCATTAAGGCAACCATCTTCCATAACTTCAGTGGACTTTACAAAAGAATTCATTATTTCTGAGAGCACATCTGTATCCAATTCAGTACCAATAGCTTGATTAAGGGACCACATATGAATTGCCACATCTGTGCAAGATACTGGGGGCCACTGTTCTACTTGCACAGATGTGGCACATTCCAGGAGAACAGGCATGGGCTCTGCTGCTGCCACTAGAACTTTGTCATGGAAATAAAATTTCAGTAAAGGAACCATCAGCCTCACAACTTGTTCTGTATATTCCACAGACCCTTCCCTGAACTCCTTAGCATAGTAAACCAACATCTGGCAAGCAGTTGCTTTTGCTTCAAGTCCTGAAATTTTAATTCCAAAACTTTGCTGGTCTCCAAGATTTACAAATTGCCAGCCATCATCCTTACTCATATTCTCCACATCCTGTGTGTCTAAGAGAGCAACATCAGGTTTAGCTGAAGCAGTAAGAGGCTCAATAACCAGTGGAAGGTACTGTTGAAAATCTTTTCCAAGAATTTTACACATTGTAGGTCATGCTGAAACCACGTAAGAGGTCTGGCGGTATCATTTGCCACATTATTTAAGTCTGATTGTGTCTTCAATAACAGCTGCATCATATTTGATCCATCTTGCAACAATTTTTCCTTCCCAACAACAGGACCAATATGGCTAATGCACACAATAGTTTTTCCTCTCAAATGCTTGAGTTCCTTCTGAACAGCAAGCTCAGTGATGTGCTTTAGTGAGGGCATGAATATATTATGATACAGGATAAATTTTTCTTCTATTTTATCTGCAACCAATGCAATGGTTGTCACAAGTTATTCCAAGGCCAACTTAGTTCCATTCTGAATCAACTCTTGAAGTTTAATCACCAAGATGGAATGTAGATTTTCGTCATACTATCCAAATACAGAACTAGCAATGATTTGGGCGGTTGTCAATAGAAATAATAAGAGCAGAAGCTGCATGTGATTGCACACACTAATTACCTTGATTTTCCATGGCATGTAACAGAGCCGCAATCACTGTTTCATGAAATTTCTTTTGGAAATTAGGTGCAAAACCCGTAGCTATCTGTCCAAGTGTAGCACAGGCTGCAGCCCTCACCGTTGGATGAAGGTCCCAGGATATTTTCGTAGATTTCCTCTGCTTGCCTTCACACCATACAGCTTGGATTGATCAGTTTCTTCAGAAGCTGGTAAAACTCTTGCTTTTCCAACACGGTTGCCAGTACCCCTGCAGACGCGGTCACCACTGTCACGCTCTGTCAAAGCTACCATGACCAGGAAGGAAAATAAGTAATTTTTAAATCTCAGACAACGTATATACTAAAAAGAAAAATAACAATATAAATCAAAATACAAAGAATAGTGAGCACCTCTCCCCTTAATCCCTTCATTTTCTGAATACTCCCCCAGAAGTAACTACTTTCAGTCCCCTGTGTTTCATATAAACCAGTAGGTAGCTTCAGAAGCTTGATCAGATTCAAGTTCATTTTTGGTGGATGCAGTAGGCAAGAATATAATATAGGTAGTGTCATGTACTTTTCACAGAAAGCACTCTTCTGCTCTTACAGAGATGTTAGCAGACATTGACAATAATTACTCAGATGCATTGTTTCTCTAAACCATTCTTTCTCAGCCTCAGCACAACTGAAATTTGGGGCCAGATAATACTTTGCTGTGAGGGCTACCCTGTGCATGGTAGGAGTTTAGCAACGTCCCCTGTCTCTACCTACTAAATGCTAGTGGCACCATCCCCTTCCTATTTGTGATACCCCAGAGTGTTTGCAGACTTTGCCAAATGGCAAAATTTATTGACTAATAAGTTAAAAAGTGATAAAATAGGATTTGCCACTCTTAGAATAATGATTCTCAATGAAGGGTGATTTGGAATGTTTTTAAAAACGTTACCTAAATTCTGTTATCCCCTCTAAAAAATTAGCTATAATCCCTGAAAATCTGCCAGTCAGTCATACTCCAGATTAGCTCAGGGGGTTTATTTCTGTCTTCTCTAGCATAATACCTGGTTGAGTTGTGTGTGTGTGTGTGTGTGTGTGTGTGTGTGTGTGTGTGTGTGTGTATGCGCGCGCACGCCTGTGTATACGTGAGTTTAAGACTTAGCCTAGTCATTAAGGGCCAGCTCCTTCCCATTACCTCTCAAAGCTTCTTGACACTTCAAGGTATAGTATTATCTTATCCTATAATCAGGAGCTCCAAGACATGTTTTCCTATAGAGGAGAGCTAGGAAAACAAGCTGAGGGTAGTAATAATTTATCATGGAGGTAGGGAATAGGTGGTACCTACATGAATCAGGCATCCTAGGACAAAGTAGTCTGATATTAATATATTGTAATACAGGTACAGTGTCTTGCCTGGACACACCCCCTTCATTAGCATTTGAAAGAATTAGTTCTTGAAAACGCACATAAAAGCTCTCATTTCCTTGATCATTTTAGGATGACCAATGGCAGCTATAAACAGATGTGAGTCTCAAATGATAAAATGTTTTAGTTCAAAAATATGGTTGTATAAAGATATAAAGTGGTATCTTTTAGGTTTGTGGCCATTTCACACTGGTAAATCCTCTGATCACTTCCAGGAAATGTGCCAGGAGAAACAAGTCATTTCTGTTCTACTTTCGGAAAGGGGGCTGGTTTCTCAGTGATGTAGTGAGTCACTATGGCTGCTGCCTTACTGGAAATTGAAAATGGTTTATCTGGCCGTGCCTTGTGTAATAAGGTCATCAGACATGTGGCTCAATATTGCTAGGGAGCACTTTTGAAGGGTAAGCTTTATTGCCAGAATAGAGGTACTATCTGCTTTTTAAATGTCCCCTACAAATTTCAAGACTTTGGAGGTATGCTACTCCAGGAGTAGCATATTTGAACATAGAAAGCTGGGCAAGGCTGTGCGCTAACAAGGGAATTTCTTCATAAGTGACATCACAGCATCCATGGATGACTGAAATGATAACTGCTTAAAATTGGAGGACATATGACAAATACCTCTGCCACAAGAAGCATCTGCTAATGAAGCATTGCATGCCTGGCCCCTGCAGTTGATAATGGGCCTGGTATCATCACTTGGGCACTATTTGCGTTTGGGGACAAAGAAAGAAAGGAAACTGTCCAGAAATCATATGGCTTATTCGTTTTTCTGCGACTAGAAATTACTTAAAGGATCTTTCCGGTCGAGGTGTACTAAAATTAGAGCAAACCTCTGTGTGATCATAAAGGCATGGTGTCATGTGTCTGTGGCCTGTGGATTGCTGAGACAGGTTGAATTTTTCTTACAAGATCAAGGCTTGAAATGAAATAAATTTAAAAGCTGTGTAGATGTTGCAAATGAGGCACCAGTCTGCAGATGCTGAGCAAGAAAAAAGGATTGCGTTTGCTTGGGCCAGCAGGAAAATGATAAGTGACAGAAATAGCATGAAAGGCTCCAAAGCAGAAGTTGTTTTGCAGAAACTGACTGAGCTAAAAAAAGAGTATGTCTTATACAGTTTTTTTTTTTCTGGTTATTGTGGCCTTAGATGTTGTTAAGAAGGTTGCCTTTAAAGGCTTCAAACTGGCATAGATAAGGATGCAGGCATTGTATCTACTACAAATATTACAATTTCATAAGGGACTTTTTAAAGCAATCATTGCCTGTACTAGTAAGACAATGAGAAAGAGATTTCTAGTGAGTAACCATGACTTATCAGAGCAGTCACTACAATGTTTTAGGGAGGATAGGGCTAAATTTTGCATTTTAGAAAATTTGGTTTGATGCCGGTATAGAGAAAGAGTAAGAAAAGCAGTACAGGAGAGAGAGACTGGATAGAAAAAACAGACGTATGACATATAAAAGATAAGAAATCTACATAAGGAATAGCAATGGGAATGAATATGATCAGTTGGAAACAGAAAATGTTAAAAAGATACAATTGAAAATACTTTATCAACAATTGAAATTATAGGAAAATAAAAATAAAAAGTCTGGGATACCTCTAGATATTTGACATCAGTGACTGAGTGGTTGTGCTATTCATGAGATGAATAAGAGAAAGAGAAAAAAGGGGCAATTGGGCACAGTAATAAATCATTCCAATTTGAGGGTTTCTGTAGCATTTTTATTCTAAAAAATATTCAGGATAATTATACGGGCATGAGTTTTCAGAGACCTTTGTGGGTAGGAGAGTTTCGGCTCATTAGTATATGAGTGGTACATGTCATACACTCAGCAGGGATAGATGAAACTGCCCAGGAAGTGCATCCGTACCAAGGAGAGGGGAGTGCCCATGGTAGAATCTTGGCAAATGCCATCAAAATGGATTCCCAAATTTACTAAATGCTTCAGAAATGTATTTTCTTCCTCATGTGCAGATTAAATTGCTTAATCCAGACAACTCTCCAATCCCCAATGAAGTTGTCCAGTTGCATCTGAAGGACAAAATTGTGGGCAACTACACCACAGATGTAAATGGCATTGCCCAATTTTTCTTGGACACATCTACGTTTACATACCCAAATATCACTTTGAAAGTAAGTTAAACCAAAGGCAAGTAAAACAAAAACAAACAAGCAAACAGAAAACTGAACTGGCTAGCTAAGGTTTAGGTCTATACGAAACTATATTTATGGAAAAGAAATGAAAAGATACATCTTGGTGTGAATCTCCAATACCGAAAAATGGTTAAATATTAAGAAAATAGGCCCTATGAAAGGTAGATTAAAAATTATTTTGTGAATCACTGGAAAAGACAGAAGGATAGCATAAAGTGTATAAAGGACAATTAGCTGAAAATAAGCAATGCTTCACTTTTATTATGGAAATAGACAGATAATTGCATTTTTATAGAAGGAAATATATGAGAAGCCTTGTAATCTATTACCTTGGAATAATGTAAAGAATTTCTCTGGATATATACAAGAGAGACGGAAACTACTATCTGTAATAATTAAATATCAATCCTTCCTAGATATTTTTAAAGGACTCTTTAGACTTTTTATGTTGATAATGATAAATTACCATGATTAGAATAAACACCTTGTTGGTATTTCATAAAAATCTGTCCATCTTTCAGCAAAATTTCCTATTTTGTTATCAGAAGCAAAGTAAACTTTTGCACTCACAGGTTCTTCATGTTATAGTGAGGGAGATATAGCAATCTACAAGCTGGCAAGAGTATAATTATAGTAATGAATACAGTAAAATATTTAATGTAATATTATTGAACTAGGACTTGAATAGACTAAATTGTAAAAACCATAGTGGTTGCTCTAGAATATAACTAGAAAATGGAGAATTGGGTTAGACCTAATGTAGAATGGCTATAAACTTTTCTCGTAGAGATAAAGCAGGATGACAATAAGCCATCTTTTCAAATATTCTTCCACTCATCCTTTCTGTTTATTCTAAAATTCCTGTAAATTTGATTTTTTGTCTAGGCAGCCTACAAGGCTAATGAAAATTGCCAGGCTCGTGGCTGGGTGTTGCCTCAATACCCGCAACCCGAGTACTTTGTATACCGATTTTACTCCAAGACTAATAGCTTCATAAAGATTGTCCAAGAGATGGAAGAACTGAGATGCCACCAGCAGAAGAGGGTGCTAGTGCACTACCTTCTCAATATGGAAGACTTGGAAGACAAAACCTACACGGCAAACTTCAATTATTTGGTATGAACTGAAAATATTCTTCCACAACCAAAATTGTTTCTTTTCTTTAAAACTTCTTTGAACCTAATGACGTCCTTTTACCTATAGGCCACAAGGAAGCTCAAAGTAAACATAAATGATAAAACTTATATAACTGATTTCTACTTTTAAGTAAGGAGGAAAAAGGCCATGCCACCATAGCCCATATAACCCTCTGTCATTCTCAGGCCCTTTCTTCAGAGTTACCCATTTCTATTTAGACATAGCTGGGATCAAATCATAGTTCTGATACTTACTACTAGCTTTGTGCTACTTTTTGAAAGCCATTTAAATCTCTCGAGAATCTTAATTTTTTTGTAAGATAATGTCTAATCACAGGATTGTTAAGATAATTATTTAATAATACACATAAAGCCCTTTGCCCAACTTCTGGCACACAAAAGATATTAAGTGTTAATTTTTATTATATTAGATTGGTATTATGAATTATTTTACATTGTCTAAATGGATGCATGGTACTTCATTGATATAAAATTAATGAAAAATAAATTAATTCAATCAGCCAACACTTATTGAATGTTTTTTCATGTTCCAGGAACTGTATTAATAATTGTAACAATAGAAGAAATAGAAAAAGTATAACTGGGGACACAACATAAATTATAATGACATAAACATAACAAATGAAACATGTATGGCTACTAAAGTGTTACAGAAAAATGAATGATTAACTCTAGCTAGAGTTTAGGACAGTGATTATCAAAGTATATTTCCTAGAGTAGCTGTATCAGCATTGCCTGGGAATAAGTTAGAAATTCTGGAAATAAGTTAGAAATCTTGTCTTAACAAGTCCTTCAGGTGATTCTGAAGCAAATGAAAATTTGAGAACCACTAGTTTAGGAAAAAAATATATGTCTATATATTTACACTTATATGTATATACATATTTTTAAGGAAAAAGACGTATAGGAAAAAATACATAAAGAGAATATGCCTAAATAGGGTTTTGTAGGATGAATAGGAGTTTTCTGGATTGTTAGAGGATATGAGAAATACATTTAAGCTTATTTTAGAAAATAACATATGAGGTCCAAGATGTCTGAAGTGTATTATTCTGAGAACTAAAGGTGTTTGAGTATATCTACATGAAGAGTGAAAGTAGTACCACATGATTTCTCACATTTTTCAAACTTAGAATTCTGGAATAATCTTTTGATACTTCTTTTTTCACACTACTGCATCATCAATTTCTATCACTTTTTCATTATATTATCTCTCACACTTTTTCTTTCCTTCATCATTTCTACAAATATTAAAATATTTCGGCCGGGCGCGGTGGCTCAAGCCTGTAATCCCAGCACTTTGGGAGGCCGAGGCAGGTGGATCACGAGGTCAGGAGATCGAGACCATCCTGGTCAACATGGTGAAACCCCGTCTCTACTAAAAGTACAAAAAAATTAGCTGGACATGGTGGCGCATGCCTGTAATCCCAGCTACTCAGGAGGCTGAGGCAGGAGACTTGCCTGAACCCAGGAAGCGGAGGTTGCCGTGAGCTGAGATCGCGCCATTGCACTCCAGCCTGGGTAACAAGCGCGAAACTCCATCTCAAAAAAAAAAAAAAAAAAAAAAATTTCAGACTAGCGAGGTATGGACACCAAACCATCAGAAAAAGTATGAGCCATAATTCCACTGAAGCTCTTAGCTAAGCCAAGCATGGCTCATTTAGACTGGGGCAGAGAGGTGCAGGTGAGAGGGGTTGGTTGTGGAGGAGAGGTTCCAGGGAAGCAGGGAGGGGACTCTGAGGAGCTCCGGGAAGTGTCTCTTTCTTTACCAATCGGTACAGAAATTCTTCAACATGTCAACAATAATATTGCCATACCAAGCATCCTTGGGGTGAAAAGCTGAACCTCTTAACTAGTTTTTATAAAGACACTCCCGCATGCCCTTGACTTTTGCCTTCCTCTTTTCTGGCCATGCCTCTGCTCATCTTTTTTTTTTTTTTTTTAATTGTACTTTAGGTTCTGGGGTACATGCGCAGATCATGCAGGGTTGTTACATAGGTACATACATGGCAAGGTAGTTTGCTGCCTTCATCCCCCCATCACCAATATCTGGCATTTCTCCCCATGTTATCCCTCCCCAACCCCCCATCCCCTGCTGTCCCTTCCCTAGCCCCCCCACAACAGATCCCAGTGTGTAATGCGTCCCTCCCTGTGTCCATGTGTTCTCATTGTTCAACACCTGCCTATGAGTGAAAACATGTGGTGTTTGATTTTCTGTTCTTGTATCAGTTTGCTGAGAATGATGGTTCATCTTAATATCCAATACCTCCCAATCCAGAGCTGAGCCATTTTGCAGGTCTGTGGTGTGAGTCGATTTATTTGTCATCAGCTTCCCTCTTGAAATAGCTTATATTTGCCCCCCATTCTGATCTGATAAGGCTTTTACAATTACTTTGTCTCATTTCCATTTTAAATGAGTCTCCTAATATAATTAAAGACTTTTTCTTCCTCTCTTTCTCCTCCCTCCTTCCCTCCTTTTCTTCTTTCTTTATTCTGGCAATCTAGAGTGCTTTTTTCGAAAGCAATTAGGATTATTTCACTCCTCTAATTTAAATACAGTTAATGACTGCCTATTTCTATTAAAACAAATACCAGATTCCTTTCCTTTGCCTGCAAGACGTTATCTGTTCTGCAACTGTGCAGCTCGCCAGCTTCATTTTGCATCATTCTACACTTGCGCCTTCTTTATTGTAGATGCAAAGGGCTTTCATTTTCTTGAATAAGCCATGTGCTTTTCTGGCTCAGAAGCCTCCCACAGGCTTTTTCTTCTGCCCATAACTACCTTCGTTCCCTTTTGCTACCACAACTCCCAAGACCTGCCTGCACCTTGTTTTCCTAGCTGATTCCTTCTCAGCATTCACCTCTTGGCTTAAATGAAACTTTCTAATCTCCTAGACAATTCAAGTCTTCTCTTATGTATTCTTTCACAATAGGCTGAGTGGACTTTCTGCCTAGCAGGGTGTACATCACAGAGAGAACCCTCAACATAATATTTTAGAATGAATGGATGGAGGCTGAATTAATTTGATTCTCAGGCTTTTAAGAATTAATTTGATACTCAGGTCTTTAAGCTTTTTTTTTTTTTTTTTTTTTTAAGACGGGTTTCACTGTGTTGGTCAGGCTGGTCTTGAATTCCCAACCTCATATGATCTGCCTGCCTTGGCCTCCAAAGTGCTTGGATTACAGGCATGAGCCACCACGCCTGGCCTAAGCTTTTTTTAAATTGGGTGACCTGACAAATATCAGTACCTCTGTGTGCCTCTTCAGTTTACTTGTCTGTTACGAGAGCTGTCTTTCTCTTGTGAGAAGTCAAAGTTAGTATAGCCAACAGAACTCAGATCTTTAAGGCTCATTAAACATTGAGCTTTATACCTTTTTGCAAATGTTCTAGTTCCAAAAACAATATCTTCCTGCTAGTTGAGGCTCAGTTCTTTTTTATGAACTAATAACCCGAACTTGGCACTTCAGAGATTTAAAGCAATTTTAATATTCAATGAAATATTAAACAGAGTAGGAGTATGAGCTCCAGAAACTTCAAGCTGCAAGATCTTATGCAAGCTTTAAATTTTCTGCAAGTCTCAGCATCTTTTAAAATAATATTCTAAAATTTTAATTTAAAATTCAAGGAGTTTTTACCAGATTTCAAATCTCCAGCCTTTGTTTGCACTTTAGAGATCATAATAGAAGTCTGCTGATGTAAATCTGCACAAGGTTGCTGATAAAGGTGATGTGAGAGAAGCATTTTTCTGGAGTACCCCCTGCTTGCTACTTTATTTTCTTTAATTTTGGGTGGAGATACATGAACAGGCCTTCTTACACCTTGCTTATCAAACACACCTTTCAGAAAACCGTTCAGTGCTGGGACCCTCCTAATTCTTTGTGTAACTTTGTTTCACTAAAGTAAATACATTTAGATGTAATTCAGCATTTACCAATATAAATAAAAAGTTGTTTATTGGTCTTAGAAAACTGTTTTGGAATGTGGAACATTAAATTGCTTTATAGCAAGTTTATCTATGATTCCTAAATTATCTTGAATATAGTTATTAGAGTCATATGTTTGTTTACTGTACCCTGAGTTTACTAGTAAACATGTCAATAGTATTGTTCAGACAAGAAAAAGGAGGTAAATCACATTAGTTATAATTAAACGAAATTTAGTTTCTGTTCTCTAAACTTTATCATTATATTTTCATTTTCCTAGATGATTTCAAAAGGTGTAATCATTCTTCATGGGCAACAGATAATTGAGATCAATGATAATGGTGAGGCCTCCAATTTTATCATATAATTTAATAAAAACAGAATGCTTTAATTGGGATATATTTTATATTTTTCTTTAAAAGTCGCTATCCTCCCATTTTAGGACCATTTTACTGCCCCCCAGACTGCCCTTGGGGAACATGTAAAGACATGTGACTAGGCACAATGCCAAATGAAAAAAATAATTAATTAATATTGTGTTAATTATATTCCAAACACTACTATAATGGAGAAGGGTCATTGGTTCTTCCTTTCCCTTCCAAGAAAGACAGGTAAGTATTTTTGTATTCCAAAGAGAAGGGATTTTTTTTTTAAAAGAAACAAATTTAGACTGAAGTTTGAGGTATTAAGAAATGTTCAACTGTCTATTTCTTTCATAATTTATGGAATAGGTTATGAACTCCTCCTAGAAATGCTTTACAAATTAAACTTGGTGGGTCGGAGCAGTCTCTTTCATTGGCTGGGTGGGATGGCTAGAAATTCAGTGGCAAGTTTCTGCAAGATGACGGTTAACTATCTCATCAAAGCACTTTTTCACTTTGAAATTTTCTTTTCACAGGAAAGAAGGGCATATTTTCCATTTCTATAGATGTTAGCCCTGAGTTAGCACCCTCAGTAGGTCTGCTTGTCTATAGCTTGCATCCTGGAGGAGAAATGGTCATGGACAGTGCCCAATTCCAAATTGAGAAATGCTTCAAAAATCAGGTGGGAGACAAAAATGATTCTTTTTCAATTTTTGGGAAAACTAAGGAGAACTTAGGGAGTGTTGGGTTTAAACTCCCAATTTTTCATAGAATTGCAAAATGAAAAATAAAGGAAAGCTATCATGGAAAAGTTAATATGTTGGATGATTGAAGAGTAGCAGAATTATAGCATTCACCTTGGATGTTGTTCCTGTTTTACTAAATTATGGATATTATTAGGTGGGCATATCACAGAAAGCCCTTCTAACTTAATGCGTGTTTTTAAAAAGTTAAGAGTAGTCTAAAAGGTGACTCTTTTCATACAGCTTGCCATCTTTTTGCCCTTTTATTTTCACTTTCAGGTTAACTTAAATTTTTCTAAAGAAAAAAGTTTACCAGGATCCAGTATCGATCTTCAAGTCTCGGCTGCTTCAAACTCTGTCTGTGCTCTATGGGCTGTAGACCAGAGTGTGTTGCTGCTAAGGAATTACGGTCAGCCATCCGCACAAAGTGTGAGTGATAAAAGCCACCTTGGTTTACAACTAGCGGTATAGCTTTATGTCTTTATTTTTGGATAAAAACAGGATACCTTAAATAAACTAGAAAAGAAAGAAATTGGCCAGAGTTCCAGGCATAAAAATATTTTAGGTTAGAAATCATGGAAAAGGACTCTGCTCCGATTATACTAATTCTCCAATAGAAAAAGTGATAACACTTTTAAAAATAAGTAACAGTTGCTAAATGTCTACTGTTTGACACTTACTCTAGTGAATATTCCCATATCTATTATTTAATTTTAATCATACTAACAACCCTATGGAACTAATGCAGTATTCCCATTTTGACTAATGTCTACTCTTAGGCTTAGGGAGATTTAGTAAATTAACCGAGAGCATTGTCTAACAATGTCCTTGAATGAGTCCGCAAAGAATATTGAGCAGTGCCTTTATCTGGACTGTATTAAAATCCAGTTGAATTTCCTGTATATTTTGTTAGCTTTAATGTGACTTAGCTGGCAATTATTTAACTGATTAAATAGTATTTCAAAGTTTTTATAGATCTAAGATTCTATACTTTCTCAAAATATGTTTATTTGGTATAGGTATTATGACAGTTTTACACAGGATATTCACAGGATTATATAGGTTATTTATACACTGCTTGTGTGGAGAAATGAATTGTTTTCTATAAAAATTATGGTTGGGGCGGGCACGATGGCTCACTCCTATAATCCCAGCACTTTGGGAGGCTGAGGCGGTTGGGTCACAAGGTCAGGAGATGGAGACTGTCCTGGCTAACATGGTGAAACCCCATCTCTACACAAATACAAAACAATAGCCTGTCATGGTGTCACGCACCTCTAGTCCCAGCTACTTGAGAGGCTGAGGCAGGAGAATTGCTTGAACCAGGGAGGTGAAGGTTGCAGTGAGCTGAGATCGTGCCACTGCACTGCAGCCTGGGCAATAGAGTGAGGATCCATCTAAAAAAAAAAATACAGTTGATTCTCTTCTACCATCTAGGTGTATAATAAACTATATTCCAGGGAACTACATGGCTATTATTTCAAAGGACTTAACTTAGAAGATGGCCTTAAAGCGCCGTGTCTTAAAGACGAACATGTCCTTTACAATGGAATTTATTACACACCTGCGTGGGCGGACTTTGGAAAAGACGCCTATGACCTTGTGAAGGTAAGACAACTATGTCTTAAAATGGTGAATATATGTGACAATACATAAATAAATAGAAATATTCATGGTGTGGGTTTTTAATCTAAGAATTCTTAGAGTACTAATTTATTATAGTACTTATTTAGAGTACTAATTATTACTAATATCTGATAAATAATATCTCAAAGAATATTGTATTACCAAAAACCTAATAAATTTCTTATAGTTATATAATACAGTTATAATAAAGTTTTTATTTTATATAGTTATAATAAACTATTATAAAGTTATATATTTTTTAAAATTATAGTAATATACTTTAAGTTATTATAAAGTTATGTGATTATAGTAGTTATAATAAGGTTATTATAACTATTATAAAGCTATAATCATATTTAAAATAACTAATAATATTATCATATTAGGAAAAGAAGTAATACATGAGGCAATTATGAGTTTTCCTGACACAGTATTATATACATAATGTACTGGTGTCTAATATAAATCCCCACTTTGCTCCTACATCTACTCTCAAATTTAATTTCTACTACTTTAAAGTATTCTACTATATTTAAAGTGTTTATAAGTGAGATACTATCCCTAGTTCAACAAAAATGCCAAATTCAAAGTAGTGAAAGTATAGTGGGATATGAGATATCTATTTTTTCCTTCCTTATTTAAAGGTTTTAATCAACTGCTTTTAATTAGGAAAATAGAGCAAAAACCATTAGAATTAGAGAAACTAAGGAACTCAAAGACATGAAATTTAGGAAATGTCATACATATATGACAATTAGAGATGGAGAAATAAATAAGTGAAAATTGATAATATGCATAAAAGAAAAAATCGGTCCAAACTGTTTGTCTATATTGTTAAGTGATCTATGCTTGATTTTATCTTGAAAGGCAATGGGATTAAAGGTTTTTACCAACTCTCACCTCCGAAAGCCAGTATTGTGCAAGGATTCCAACCATCCTGACTATGCTGATCACGTTTCCTTAGGTAAGTGGCAGTATAATATGAAGGGCAGGTGGCAGGTTATGATCTCTTAATGCTTTTAAACCAATTTGGAAAAGAGGGGAGGTAATTATTTTCTTTTGCTTCATCTTTTAGTTCATTTAATGTGTCTGTCATATCAGATGTTAGAAATACAGTGAGACTAATGCAGGTAATACTCATGAAGTTTACACTGAATTTGGGATGCAGACAATATACCAATGACTGCATATTGTCATTTGTATATTTCTTGTGTTGCTATAAAGAAATACCTGAGGCTGGGTAATTTGTAAAGAAAATAGGAGCAGGTGCAGTAGTTCATGCTGGTAATCCCAGGACTTTGGGAGGCTGAGGCAGGCAGATCACCTCAGGTCAGGAGTTTGACACCAGCCTGGCTAACATGGTGAAACCCCATGTCTATTAAAAATGCAAAAAGTTAGCCTGATGTGGTGGCACCCACCTGTAATCCCAGATACTGGGGAGGCTGAGGCAGGAGAATCACTTGAACCGAGGAGGCAGAGGTTGCAGTGAGCCAAGATCGTGCCATTGCACTCCAGACTGGGCAACAAGAGGAAACTCCATTTCAAAAAAAAAGAAAGAAAGAAAAAAGAAAAGAAAAAGAAAATAATTGAATTGGCTCACAGTTCTGCAGGCTGTATAAGCAACATGGTGCTGGCATCTGCTCAGTTTCTGGGGAGGCCTCAGAAAATTTAGTCATGAAGGATGAGGGGAAGCAAGTGTCTCACATGGCCAGTATGGGAGCAAGAAGAGGAGAGGTGTCACACACTTTTAAACAATCAGATCTCACAAGTCACTCACTATTACATGAAGAGCACCAAGTGATGAAGGATCCGCCCCCATGACCCAAACACTTCCTGTTAGGCCCACCTCCAACACTGGGAATTACATTTCAACATGAGATTTGAGGGAATAAATATTCAAACTATATCAATGACATAATTTCAGATGGTAATAAGTGCTCCAATATTTAATCTTTACTGAATTGTCACTACATGCCAAGCAATGTTCTAAGCATTGTACAAGTGTTAACCCATTTATTCTTCACAGTCTATAGATTAGAAGCTATTATCTGCAATTTATCAATAAGAAAAATGGAGCTTAGGCAGGTTAAGTAACTTATCCAATGTAACAGATGCTAAATAACAGAGATGAGATTATAATCCAGGCTTTCTGATCCCAAAGTCTATGTTTCTCTCTCATGAGATACTACCTCTCAAAGAACTACTGTGAAGAAAATAAAACAAGATAAAGGAAAAGAGCAGAACATCAGGATGCTATTTTAAATAAGATAGAGAAAACCTGTATGACGAGGTGACCTTCAATCAGAAACTGATTAAAGACTGTTCAAGAAAGCCTGGTAATATTTAAAAATAGGCAAAAAATATAAAGATATGATATAAAGAAGGGGAACCAAATAGATAAGAACTGTATGGAGAAATATTTAACTTCACTAATAATCAGAAAAAATTTAAATGAACATCAAGAAACCAGTTAACACATATGCCAATGATGAAAAGAAAGAAAAATCAAATGGTAATTGTTATTCAAGCAAGGCAAATGGGAGCACTATGTGTACTACTAATGGGATTATAAGGTGGTACAGACATTGTGTGGGGTCTCATAGCATTTATTAGGCATATACCTTTTAACACAGCAATTAAACTTCTTGGCATAAACACTAAGGCCTACAACTCAAGTATACTAGGACATGCACACTGTGTAATATTTGGTGCATTGCTGGTTGTGCTAGCATGTAAGGAAGATCAGCTAGGTGACTATGACTAAAAGATGGATAAAGTAATATGTGGTGAATACAGGCTATGGAATATTGGGAAGTACTAAGAAATAACGTAAGTAAATTTTGACAATGAAGTTTTAAGTGGGAAAAGTAAGAAACATAGTAATGGCTAAATTATAAGATCATTTATATGAGTTTAAAAGAAACTCAATAAGCAAAATTACATATTGATGAAAAACGCATACAGATCCAGGATAAATACAAAATACATTTGAGTGCTAGAAAATGAAGAGGAGGAATGCCTCAGGAAGAGGGGAGAAGATAATATTTAAATATTTATAAATTATAGGTATTATATATTTATACATAAAATATTATAATATATTTTGTATACTATGATATATATTTTAAATATATTATATGTAATATGTATAATATACATATGTTTGTTTATTCATAAATATAAAGTTGGGTGAAAATTAGGAAAAAGAAATCAACACAGATTGTATACAACACAGTCTGTATACAAGGTTATTCCTAAAACCAGCAAATAACTAATAGCTCTAGCTAGCACTGATTTGCAGTAATCCTGAGCAAGTCCAATAGGCCAATATTAAGTGCTAAAACTGTGCAACCCAAATTGTGATAGAGACCAGAAATATACCATTATATTTCTACACATGATGGGGTCTGGAACTGTGGAATAGCTGCAGGCCCACAGCCAAATCTGGGAATAAAGAATCATAAGGCCGTTGCAATTTAAAGTTTACCTGTGCAATCTCCTACTCAATAAGTTCTCACAGTGAAGCCTTATAGACCTCTAAGCAAGATTTATACTTTTAAAGACTATGAAAGGTGGTACACAAACAGTAACCCAAGGAATTTACATTGGAGCTAAATGGGCAACTGAGTAATAAGAAAAATAAATTAAAATGAGCATTATATTATTAAGATATTAAGATGAAGTGGGAATTGGTGGTAGAGGTCAAGGGAAAGTTGATTTTATTTTTAATCTTTTAATTATTGTATAGGATAGTGTATTTTCATATTACTTGTATAATGTATTTTTAGGTACAATATGACAAAATATCTCAGATTATTTCAGGGATGAATAATTTATAATATCTTAATTTTTAATAAACATTTGTGAAATATTCATGTATTCACCAAACATAAGACATCTAAATGGACTTCTAAAGCTTTTTCAAAGATCATTATGAAGATTGAATGAGTTTATATATTAAAAAACATTTTCAATCATGACTGAGAAATAGCAATAATTCAATAAATGATGCCTACTATTATTAAATCTTGCCCTCAAAACATAACTTCATTTGTTAAGAAGTTAAATTTGACTTTTAGATATGAAATAGCTAATTATTTTTTATTTTGCTTTGCATTCCTCCAGATAAAATTTCACTTTTTTATTTTTAAAGTTTTATTATATTTTTAATTAATAGATAATAACTGTATATATTTATAAGGTATAATGTGATGTTTTAATACATTTATGTATTGTGAAATGATCACATCATGCTAATTAGCATTTCCATTAGTGTAAATATTTATTTTCTGTGATGATAACATTCTTATAGCTATTTCTTTATATTTGTATAGAGGATTCAAAGATTGGGAAGGAATTTTATGGTGAAACCCTGAGAATATCATTTCCTGAAACTTGGGTTTGGAATCTTATTACAACTGAGTGAGTATTTTTAACTGCATTTTTTTGTCATTTAATTTTTTTTTATCTGAGTAAAAGATAATAGTTGTATTTGCCAGCCTTATGAAAATAAATGTGCCCAAAAGACTGAAAACTAAGAGTGTGTCAAAAGTTCCACAGGACCCATGATAGGATTGTAACTTCTTTTTTTTATCCTTTCACTTTCTCTTTTTATTTTTTCCTTCTTTTTCTTATTTTTGTCACTTCTTTATTATTATTATTATTTTGAGACAGAGTCTCAGTCTGTTGCCCAGGCTGGAGTGCAGTGACACAATCTCGGCTAACTGCAACCTTTGCCTCCCTGGTTCAAGTGATTCTCTTGCCTCTGCCTCCTGAGTAGCTGGGACTACAGGCACATGACACCAATGCCCAGCTAACTTTTGTGTATTTAGTAGAGAGGGGTTTTACCATATTGGCCAGGCTGGTCTTGAACTCCTGACCTTATATCCCTTATGTTTTATAAAAACTTGGATGTTCTTGGAAGAAATGTTGTACGGGAGACTCAAAACAGACTGATATTTGTTATTGTTGTATGACACGATGAACATAATACTCAACAAACACATATGGAGGTAAGGGAGAAAGAAAGGGGAGAAAAGAAAATCTAAAAGAGGAAGAAAAAGGAAACAATGAAGAGGAGGAAGAACAGGAGAAAAGGAGGTTGGAAAAAAGTAATTTCTAAGTAGGTGCCATAAAAATTTCAAGTAAAGGCTAACGTGCACACTCTAAACTTAAAAACTGTATTATATGGCTCATGTTTCTATACTTATCAGTAAAGTTAAATAAATGTGATAATTACTTACAAGTCAACTAAAGTAAAACAAATTGCTAATTTAGGTATTCTGAGTACATTAACTGAGTCATTTGTTTATGTCTCCCGCTCACTCAAACATTGCCAAATATTTTGGTGTTAAAGACCACTCACAGTGTCTACTGATAATGAAAGACAGAAATACACAGAGATGAAAGTATCTTTCTCAGTGTTTTATAAGAAAGTAAAAGATTAATGCCTATGTCAAGTATTTAAACAGTTTATAATTTTTCAGGTATTATAAGAAAAGACATAATATCATAAAATTTAAAACAGAATTAAAAGATGAGATCTCAAAATGAAGAAACAGTAGAGTCAAAGATGACTCAAAGGGAAGGAAAGCTAACACACTGGACACAAAAGCTTACAGTTTAGCTTCTTTACAGATAAGGCATGATATAGAGCTAAACAGGAAGACTGGGATAAAGAAAAGAGAACTTGATTCTTGTAGTTTAGCAAACTGTTGAACAGTCAAAGGAAGATATATAAAGGTCCAAGAAGTGACATGATCTAATTACACATGTGTGATATGGGGACAGCTTCTCTCAATCTGTGTGCTATCTCCTTTATTAGCTCCACAGGTGCAGCCAACCTTAAACTTACTGTTCCAGATACCATTACACAATGGAAAGCCAGCGGATTCTGCATGAATGACAGAGCTGGATTTGGCCTCTCACCAACTGTCTCCATGACAGCTTTTCAGCCCTTCTTTGTGGACCTCACTGTGCCCTATTCGGTGATTCGAGGAGAAGCATTTACTCTGAAGGCCAATGTCTTCAACTACCTGAACAGATGTATTCAGGTACCAGCTCTTCTTATAATAGCAAGTTCTTCCCTATGTAAATTATCTTCAAATATTGGTTGTCTGATGATCAAAACCTGATAAGAACTTGTCTTTCCTTCCTAAGTTTTTAAAAAATGTTGGTAAGCGCTGCCAACCACACTCAATGTGTGGTTTAGAAGTATAAATTCTTATATCTAGGTGGCTGGCTGAATGTAAAAGAACTTAAGACAAGCTCTGTGGTGTAAGTTAGTTTTCATTATTGTGTGTGAGGGGAGGGTCGGTGGAAATGATTGGGTGATAAGATCCCTAGAACTCTTGATTCTTCAACGTATTCAATAATTTTATGTATAAGGCCCTTTTGAAGCAGAAGCACATGTGAATAATTAAGCTGGATATTATCAAATTAGATTAGCAAATTAGATTTTAAGTATCTTTGGGATACTTAAGGATACATGACAGCTTAGGAGTTTCATAGGCCCTTGAGAGCTGGCCAATAGCTGTGTAAAAAAAAAACCAGCAATTTCACAACAGAAAACGCACAAACATTTATACCTAGGTTCGTATCTTGCTTTTTAGACTGTCTAGTTCCGTTGCTTTGAACAAGGTACTACCCTCCATCAGCCTCAGTGTATCAGGTGTAAAATGGTGTTAATAATACATATTTGGCTGGGTCCTTATGAAAATTGAATGAGGTAATGTAAATCATGAGCCTTACACAATACACTGCAAATAATAGGCATTCACGTTTGTTCCCCTTCTCTTTAACTTTTACCTAAATAACAAATTTCAACTAGATCTGTAATAATAATATGGCCTTTAATTGTTGCATTAGCTCATCTCTTTCAATTATTTTCAATATAATATGATCCACAAACCCAACCTTTTGTTGATATCCAATTATTTGGTGAACATGAGTAGAGAGTAGTAACAAAATGACACATCCAAAGTGCCAAGTAATAGACCTAATCAACATATTTTACTTTAAGTGATACAGTTTATTTTTAAAAATCAAGCAGTCCAAACTATTCAGTTTATCAGGAAGCTATTTTTTCGGAAAAAAATAAAATACATTTTTTCATATTCAGGAAAGTTTATTTTTGCTTCCTTGTTAGTAAAGTTTTTGTTTGTAAGCCTGAGTTGTGATGCATTCTTCCAGATGCTTTGTATCTGTTATTTGCTGTAGCACACACAACTGTGAGCTATAGATGACAATGACCTCAATTTACAGAAAAGAGAAAGTAAACAGGCTCCGAAGAGCTTATGATAACTTGGTCAACCCAAATTGGCCAAAACATCTGCTTATTCTGCTGTAGTTCTACAAAGTAATGCATTATTATATAAGACCGAAGTACTGGTTTTTCAAAGTAATTAGTCACTAAGTGCCAAAGTCAAACTATAACTATGAAGACTTTGAAGGTCTCCCCATGGTTTGGAAACCATTCTTTTCATAGCAGAAAATATGAATGGTAGGGAACTTCCTTTCTAACTTCTCAGACAGGCATGACTATGCTATGTTTATATATGGAAAAGATTAAATCCTTTTTCTCTCTCTTCCCTTATCTGGCCCTCACAGGTAAACACTGTACTGAGAGCATCTAGTGTTTATGAAGCCAGACTTCTCTCAACTGAGCATGAAAATATTTGTATATGTGGCAGTGAGAAAAAATCCTTTACTTGGCTGGTTACCCCCCAAATACTGGGTAAGATTTGCAGTTATTATATGTTTTTACAGCCTTTTGTAAATCCCCCTAAGAGCTCATGTCGGACTATTTCTCTATGTAAGCAATTTACCCATTACTTACTACCATTGCTTATCTATTCTTTCATTCCTTATGACAGTACTCTTTCATAGCCCAAGACCAATATGCCTGGGGACAGGGGTGGGGAGTTGAAGTCAAGTCTTGACTTTAAGAGTTCTTATTTTCCATGTCATATTTTATTCTCTTCCCCGTCAAATTTCAATTATTTTAACAATTTACCTCAACATAGAGTTCAAAATAATTTCGCCTCCTTGTATCTTCATTCAAATAACTTCCGTTTACATTTTCTGCCACTTAAGGTACAGTCAACCTCACTGTCACTGCTGAAACCCTCCAAAATAGTGGCTGCAGGAATGGGTCATCCACAGCTCCAGACATGGGCTGGCGGGATACACTGATCAAACCCTTGCTGGTAGAGGTATGGCCTCAGAGTAAAACTTATGGGCCTTGAGGAAAACAGTCTGTATTTCAAAGGTTTATCTCCATTAAGAAGTGTGAAGTATAGCTTTCAGAGCCCGTGGAAATAGGAGTGAACCACTTATACGAAGATAAAACACAGTATTTCAATCAAATATTTAGAAAAGAAGGCCAGAGACAGACATTTCATCCACTTATGCAAAGAATATTTTAAGTCAACTGTACAGTATTCTTGAAACAGAGTGACAGAACTTTGGATCCTGAAGGATCTTTATGAAAATCCTTGACTTTCATTTTGGTAACACAGCTTATTGTATAGCATGCAAAATCAAATGGTTCATTTCTGTATTAACTTGGGCTTAATAATTCATAGATTCACTCTCTGGAATAAGTTTTGAAGGTGATTTGTTCTATTTAGGCATTATTAATTTATGAATATGCTGAATATTCAGAATATTGTTGATATAGGAAATTAATTATGACTTTCTTTTCTTCTTCCAACAATTAGCCTGAAGGTATTGAAAAGGAGGTGACACAGGGCTCACTTATTTGTACAAATGGCAAGTAGATACCTTTACATAGTTTTGCTGACATGGCAACATTGAATGAAACATTGAATGAAATGTCTTTGTTTTAGAATGAAGGGTTTTATTATTTATCTTCTCAGAACATGGCTACTGGGAAAGATTAAATTACTGTCAAGTAATAAAATTTAATAATTCCACCAGCCAAAGCAAATTTTAAACTTTGAATTCTTCCTTATCAACTGTTCCCTAGTTCAGGTATTCCAGTATCCTGACTTTAACCCTTATCTCCACCTCTTCATTTCTCCCCATCCAAACCTTAATTTTCTCATTAAAAATAATAACTATGATTCTAAAAGTTCTGTCAAAAGACCCCAACCAGGGAAAAATTTTCTCTACCTAATGTATATCATTTCCAGAACCTTCTGTTATCCTCCCACCTCTGAGCCAAATTCTGATAAGTCTTTTTTTCTGATTACTACATCTGCTGATGTTCATTACCTGTCTGGGGCTTTGTTTCACATCCATTGCCTGAAACTATTTCTGTTTTCAACACTGCAACAATTAATTACCCTCCAAATAGTAGCAGACTGCAACAGGATTTATTTCTGTTATCTAATATATTTTGCTTTCGCCACTATTTATTTATTTGTTTGAATGTGAGAAATACTAGAGACTCCTATAGTTAAGAGAAGCCAGAGATCTCATTTTATTTTCCAATATTATGTCACCTTAAGGAGCATATTCAGGTAGTGGAGTATTTTAATACCAGTAAGAAAATTACATTAAACCCAGTTCAAAAGGACTGGGTTCAGATTCAATGTTTTATTACTTATAATTAGGTGATGTCCCAAATTTATTTTCTTTTGGCCTAAGCATACTCTTCTATACCAAGGCGGGAAAAGCATCTGGTTTGTTCATCCTATAAGTAATTTTGTGGAAATCCAATTGAATAATATGTGCAAAAGTAAATTGGTATGTACTTACCAAAGTTAAGGTTTCATTATATGTTAAATTGTAACTGAGAAGAGTTTAAGTAAACATGATTAGTTATAATTATAGGAATCTCTTTGACCTTTTTTTCTGATTATTTTAGAGTTGAAAAAGTCAATAAGTAGACATGAAGTGATTTACTAATCAAGAAGATAAATTATAATCAAAGTCAAAATCATGGCTTTGAAAATAAGTGAGAGATCTGAATTAATAATTTCACTTTACTGTTTCCTAGGATCCACAGTATCTCAACCAGTAGTGCTAACTTTACCAGATAATCTTGTAAAAGATTCACCTAGAGCTTACTGGTCTGTCCTTGGTAAGTCGGCAAAGCATTATAATACATAGGCTTGGAAAGAAGAGAAAAATTTTCCCTATTTCTGCCATGGTTCTGTTTTGTCATCTTTTAGACTCCATTTCTATCCTTAGAATTTTATAACTGAGGTTGGTATGTATGACTAAATACTAAACCACATCAAGAAACTAAGCACAGAGTCTCCAAAGCACATACTCACTTTCCTTTCTTTTTTTCTTTTTTTAATTTTTTATTGCATTTTAGGTTTTGGGGTACATGAGCAGAGCATGCAAGACAGTTGCGTAGGTACACACATGGCAGTGTGCTTTGCTTCCTTTCTCCCCTTCACCCACATTTGGCATTTCTCCCCAGGCTATCCCTCCCCACCTCCCCCTCCCACTGGCCCTCCCCTTTTCCCCCCAATAGACCCCAGTGTTTAGTACTCCCCTCCCTGTGTCCATGTGTTCTCATTTTTCATCACCCGCCTATGAGTGAGAATATGCAGTGCTTCATTTTCTGTTCTTGTGTCCGTTTGCTGAGGATGATGTTCTCCAGATTCACCCATGTCCCTACAAACGACACAAATTCATCATTTCTGATTGCTGCATAATATTCCATGGTGTATATGTGCCACATTTTTCCAATCCAGTCTATTATCAATGGGAATTTGGGTTGATTCCAGGTCTTTGCTATTGTAAACAGTGCTGCAATGAACATTCTTGTACATGTGTCCTTATAGTAGAACGATTTATAGTCCTTTGGATATATACCCAGTAATGGGATTGCTGGGTCAAATGGAATTTCTATTTCTAAGGCCTTGAGGAATCGCCACACTGTCTTCCACAATGGATGAACTCATTTACACTCCCACCAACAGTGTAAAAGTGTTCCTTTTTCTCCACATCCTCTCCAGCATCTGTTGTCTCCAGATTTTTTAATGATCGCCATTCTAACCGGCATGAGATGGTATCTCAATGTAGTTTTGATTTGCATCTCTCTGATGACCAGTGACGATGAGCATTTTTTCATATGTGGCCTCATATATGTCTTCTTTCATAAAGTGTCTGTTCATATCCTTTGCCCACTTTTGAATGGGCTTGTTTTTTTCCTGTAAATCTGTTTGAGTTCTTTGTAAATTCTGGAAATCAGCCCTTTGTCAGATGGGTAAACTGCAAAAATTTTTTCCCATTCTGTTGGTTGCCGATCCACTCTAGTGACTGTTTCTTTTGCCGTGCAGAAGCTGTGGAGTTTGATTAGGTCCCATTTGTCTATTTTGGCTTTTGTTGCCAATGCTTTTGGTGTTTTGTTCATGAAGTCCTTGCCTACTCCTATGTCCTGGATGGTTTTGCCTAGATTTCCTTCTAGGGTTTTTATGGTGCCAGGTCTTATGTTTAAGTCTCTAATCCATCTGGAGTTAATTTTAGTGTAAGGTGTCAGGAAGGGGTCCAGTTTCTGCTGTCTGCACATGGCTAGCCAGTTTTCCCAACATCATTTGTTAAACAGGGAATCCTTCCCCATTGCTTGTTTTTGTCAGGTTTATCAAAGATTGTATGGTTGTAGATATATTGTGTTGCCTCCGGTGCCTCGGTTTTGTTCCATTGGTCTATATCTCTGTTTTGGTAACAGTACCATGCTGTTTTGATTACTGTAGCCTTGTAGTATAGTTTGAAATCTGGTAGTGTGATGCCCCCTGCTGTGTTCTTTTTGCTTAAAATTGACTTGGCTATGCAGGCTCTCTTTTGGTTCCATATGAAGTTCATGGTGGTTTTTTCCAGTTCTGTGAAGAAAGTCAATGGTAGCTTGATGGGGAGAGCATTGATTCTGTAAATTACTTTGGGCAGTATAGCCATTTTCACAATATTAATTCTTCCTAACCATGAACATGGAATGTTTCTCCATCTGTTTGTATCCTCTCTGATTTCGTTGAGCAGTGGTTTGTAGTTCTTTTTGAAGAGGTCCCTTACGTTCCTTGTGAGTTGTATTCCAAGGTATTTTATTCTTTTTGTAGCAACTGTGAATGTCAGTTCGTTCTTGATTTGGCTTTCTTTAAGTCTGTTATTGGTGCAGACGAATGCTTGTGATTTTTGCACATTGATTTTATATCCTGAGACTTTGCTGAAGTTGCTTATCAGTTTCAGGAGTTTTTGGGCTGAGGCGATGGGGTCTTCTAGGTATACTATCATGTCGTCTGCAAATAGAGACAATTTGGCTTCCACCTTTCCTATTTGAATACCCTTTATTTCTTTTTCTTGCCTGATTGCTCTGGCTAGAACTTCCAGTACTATATTGAATAGGAGTGGTGAAAGAGGGTCTATTCATAGTTTCAGCTTCCTCCTGGTTCAGGCTTGGGAGTACACAGATTTCAAAGGGAATGCTTCCAGTTTTTGCCCATTCAGTATGATATTGGCTGTTGGTTTGTCATAAATAGCTTTTATTCCTTTGAGATACGTTCCTTCGATACCGAGTTTATTGAGGATTTTTAGCATAAAGGCTGCTGAATTTTGTCGAATGCCTTCTCTGCATCAATTGAGATAATGATGTGGTTTTTGTTTTTGGTTCTGTTTATGTGGTGAATTACGTTTATAGACTTGCGTATGTTGAACCAGCCTTGCATTCCCGGGATGAATCCTACTTAATCATGATGAATAAGTTTTTTGATTTGCTGTTGCAATCGGCTTGCCAATATTTTATTGAAGATTTTTGCATCTATGTTCATCATGGATATTGGCCTGAAGTTTTCTTTTCTTGTTGGGTCTCTGCCGGGTTTTGGTATCAGGATGATGTTGGTCTCATAGAATGATTTGGGAAGGATTCCCTCTTTTTGAATTATTTGGAATAGTTTTAGAAAGAATGGTACCAGCTCCTCTTTGTGTGTCTGGTAGAATTCGGCTGTGAACCCGTCTGGACCTGGGCTTTTCTTGTGTGGTTGGCTCTTAATTGCTGCCTTGACTTCAGACCTTGTTATGGGTCTATTCATAGTTTCAGCTTCCTCCTGGTTCAGGCTTGGGAGGACACAGGAGTCCAGGAATTTATCCATTTCTTGCCGGTTTATTAGTTTATGTGCTTAGAGTTGTTTGTAATATTCTCTGATGATGGTTTGAATTTCTGTGGAATCTGTGGTGATTTCCCCTTTATCATTTTTTATTGCATCTATTTGGTTGTTCTCTCTTTTATTTTTAATCAATCTGGCTAGTGGTCTGTCTATTTTGTTGATCGTTTCAAAAAACCAGCTCTTGGATTTATTGATTTTTTGAAGGGGTTTTCGTGTCTCAATCTCCTTCCGTTCAGCTCTGATCTTAGTTATTTCTTGTCTTCTGCTGGGTTTTGAGTTTTTTTGATCTTGCTCCTCTAGCTCTTTCAAGTTTGACGATAGGGTGTCAATTTTGGATCTCTCCAATCTCCTCATATGGACACTTATTGCTATATACTTTCCACTAGAGACTGCTTTAAATGTGTCCCAGAGATTCTGGCATGTTGTGTCTTCGTTCTCATTGGTTTTGAAGAACTTCTTTATTTCTGCCTTCATTTCATTGTTTATCCAGTCAACATTCAAGAGCCAGTTGTTCAGTTTCCATGAAGCTGTGCGGTTCTGAGTTGGTTTCTGAATTCTGAGTTCTAACATGATTGCACTATGGTCTGAGAGGCTGTTTGTTATGATTTCAGTTGTTTTGCATTTGTTGAGCAGTGCTTTACTTCCAATTATGTGGTCAATTTTAGAGTAGGTGTGATGTGGTGCTGAGAAGAATGTATATTCTGTGGATTTGGGGTGGAGAGTTCTGTAAATGTCTACCAGGTTTGCTTGCTCCAGGTCTGAGTTCAAGCCCTGGATATCCTTGTTGATTTTCTGTCTGGTTGATCTGTCTAATATTGACAGTGGAGGGTTAAGGTCTCCCACTATTATTGTGTGGGAGTCTAAGTCTCTTTGTAATTCATTAAGAACTTGCCTTATGTATCTGGGTGCTCCTGCATTGGGTCCATATATGTTTAGGATCGTTAGCTCTTCTTGTTGTATCGATCCTTTTACCAGTATGTAATGGCCTTCTTTCTCTCTTTTGATCTTTTTTGCTTTAAAGTCTATTTTATCAGAGATGAGAATTGCGACTCCTGGTTTTTTTTGCTCTCCATTTGCTTAGTAAATCTTCCTCCATCTCTTTATTTTGAGCCTTTGTGTATCCTTGCATGTGAGATGGGTTTCCTGGATACAGCACACTGGTTGGTTTTGGATTTTTATCCAATTTACCAGTCTGTGTCTCTTGATTGGTGCATTTAGTCCATTTACATTTAGGGTTAATATTGTTATGTGTGAATTTGATACTGCCATTTTAATGCTAAGTGGCTGTTTTGCTTGTTAGTTTTTGTAGATTCTTTATTATGTTGATGCTCTTTAGCATTTAGTGTGATTTTGGAATGGCTGGTACTGGTTGTTCCTTTCTATGTGTAGTGCCTCTTTCATGAGCTCTTGTAAAGCAGGCCTGGTGGTGACAAAATCTCTGAGTACTTGCTTTTTCGCAAAGGATTTTATTTTTCCTTCACTTCTGAAGCTCAGTTTGGCCGGATATGAAATTCTGGGTTGAAAGTTCTTTTCTTTAAGAATGTTGAATATTGGCCCCCACTCTCTTCTGGCTTGTAGAGTTTCTGCCGAGAGATCTGCTGTGAGTCTGATGGGTTTCCCTTTGTGGGTAACTCGACCTTTCTCTCTGGCTGCCCTTAGTATTTTCTCCTTTATTTCAACCTTGTTGAATCTGACGATTATGTGCCTTGGGGTTGCTCTTCTTGCGGAATATCTTTGTGGTGTTCTCTGTATTTCCTGCATTTGAGTGTTGGCCTGTCTTGCTAGGTGGGGGAAATTTTCCTGAATGATGTCCTGAAGAGTATTTTCCAGCTTGGATTCATTCTCTTCGTATCCTTCTGGTACACCTCTCAAATGTAGGTTAGGTCTTTTCACATAGTCCCACATTTCTTGGAGACTTTGTTCATTCCTTTTTGCACTTTTTTCTCTGATCTTGGTTTCTCGTTTTATTTCATTGAGTTGATCTTCGACTTCAGATATTCTTTCTTCTGCTTGGTCAATTCGACTATTGAAACTTGTGCATGCTTCACGAAGTTCTCGTATTGTGTTTTTCAACTCCTTTAATTCATTCATATTCCTCTCTAAGTTATCCATTCTTGTTATCATTTCCTCAAATCTTTTTTCATATCTTTTTTCAAGGTTCTTAGTTTCTTTGCATTGATTTAAAACATGTTCTTTTAGCTCACAAAAGTTTCTCATTATCCACCTTCTGAAGTCTAATTCTGTCATTTCTTCACAGTCATTCTCCGTCCAGCTTTGTTCCCTTGCTGGTGAGGAGTTTTGGTCCTTTCTAGGAGGTGAGGTGTTCTGGTTTCGGATGTTTTCCTCCTTTTTGTGCTGGTTTCTTCTCATCTTTGTGGATATATCCACTTGTCGTCTGTGTAGTTGCTGACTTTTCGATTGGGTCTCTGAGTGGACACCCAGATTGTTGGTGATGAAGTATTTCTGTTACTTAGTTTTCCTTCTACCAGTCTAGCCCCTTCGCTGTATGACTGCTGAGGTCCACTCCAGGCGCTGCTTGTCTGGGATGCACCTATAGCAGCTGCGGAGCAGTGAGGGATGCTACCAGTTTCTTTTTCTGCTATCTTTATCCCAGGACGAAGCCTGCCAAATGTCAGTCTTTTGGATATAGAGGGGTCAGGAAGCTGCTTGAGGAGACAGTCTGTACTTTATAGGAGCTCAAGTGCTGAGCTGTGAGCTCTGTTGTTCATTCAGGGTTGTTAGGCTGCTAAGTTTGATTCTGCTGCAACAGAGCTCATTAAAAAACCCTTTTTTTCTCAGATGCTGTGTCTTGGGGTGTTGGGGCTTTATTTTTGGATGTCCGTTGAGGGGTCCTGCCAGCTAGGAAACAGTCTAGTCACTATTTGCCTGTCGAGGCTCCGCCCTGCTGTTGTAAGGTTTGCCCTGTTGCTGCAGGCTCTGCTCTTCTGCTGCAGTCTCTGCCACGGGCTATGCCCTGTGGCGGAGTCTCTCTGTTGTAGTGGGTTGCCTCGGCAATGGCAGGCTGCCTCAGCTGTGGGCGTGTACCTCAGTAGGGGCTGGTTGCCTCGGCAACAGCAGGCTGTGTCAGCAGTGGGCGTGTATCTCAGTAGGGGTGGGTTGCCTTGGTAATGGTGGACGCCCCTCCCCCATGGAGTGTTTCAGGGAAAATCTCAACGAGGAGCGTTTGGAATCGCCGTTTTGTCCGTCCCACTGTGCTACCCCAAACGCTGTGTCCCTGCAATCCCCTGGGCTGGCCCACTGTCCAAGTCCCATTCAGTCTCAAGTTCAGCCCTCTCAACTCTCAGGTTGCTGGTTCAACAGGGCACCCGGACAATGCACCATGTGGAAAGCGCTGGGTAGGGCCGGCCGCTGCCACCCCTGTTGTCAGCTTCGCCAGGCAAAACCTCTGCCTGGCATCCCATGTCTCCTTTATACTTGGGAATTTCCCCATTCTGTGGGCAACAAAGATCAGTCTGGAAATGCAGCTCTGACTCACCTCTCCGCGCATTCACTGAAAGCTTCAATCCTGGGTTGTTCTCACAGCGCCATCTTGAGTCCTCCTTGAAAATGGTATTATTTATTTCATAAGATTGTTAAATGAGTTGAGATGCTTAGACATCTCCAGATAAGTAGTAAGTGCTACACAACTATTAGGTATTGGTAGAAGGTGTGTAGGAAGGTGGTCAAGTCCAAGTACTCTGAAGCACTATTTTCTGTGCTCAATTCCTGACTCTGCTGTGTATTTTTTGGATGATGCTGGGAAAAGTTTCAGCCTCTCTGTGCCTCAATTTTATTATAGATGAGAAAAATAGTGCCCATTTGTATTATTATTATTATTATAAGCATTGAATGAATTAATATGAGCAGAGTGCTCAGAACAGTATCTGATAAATGGTAAACATTTTATAAAGGCTTATTTTGGGCCAAAATTCTATTGTTTTTGAATTTGTGATGGACCTGGAATTTGCTACTTCACCCTGGGAGCTCTCAAGAAATGTCGATTCCCACAAACTTTTGGGTTCTTCTGCTCTTGGCTGTGCTGCTTTGGATAACGTATCTCCATTGTAGTTCTGAAAAGAAGGCCCTGAGGTGTCTTGGTGATTCTATGGTGTTGGCCCAACAAATAGAAGAGAAAGTAAAATCCAGATAATATTGAAAATAATTATTTTGAATATCTATAACATAGAGTTCTTGAATACAAACTAATATTCTTTATCTTGTCAATTTTTATAAAGTCCTTCATATTGATTTGATTGATTTTTCAGGAGATCTTCTTGGTTCTGCCATGCAAAACTTACAGAATCTTCTTCACCTTCCTTTTGGTTGTGGAGAGCAGAATATGGCCCTATTCACTCCCAACATTTACATCTTGGACTATCTGAGTCAGACTCAACAACTGACAGAAGAGATCAAATCCAAGGCTATTGGATACCTGACCACAGGTAAAGCATTTAGAAGCTTTATTTTGCTTAACTCAGCGAAATTCCTGAATCCCGGCTGTTTTGCTTGTTAAGTACATGAATGTATTTGTCTATATGTATACATCCACTTATAACTAACACAGATATTCAATTTATCCAACTTCTTCTGGATGATTCCTTTTAGTTTGAAAAATAATATCTCTTCTTGTTTTAGGCTATCAGAGGCAGCTGTCTTATAAACACTTAGATGGATCATATAGTACCTTTGGACATAAAGATCAACATGGACATACATGGTTTGAATGTTTATTATTTATATCAGTTTAATTAATTGTTCCTAATTACTTCTAATCTACTTATTTTTTTCAAGTGATTTTTGTGAATTTTATAAAAGCTTTGGATCTTCCCCCACAAACTAAATATACAAACTTCCACACACATATGCACATTCTTTTAGTAGGATTCTTGGGCTCTTGGATTAAAGACTTATGGTATGGTACTTCTATCTTTTACTTACAAAAATATATATACATGATAAATAAGCAAATTGTTAGACAAAGTAATTCAATAGAGCAGGATAAAAGTATTGAAACTACATTTATTATATAAGCAAATTATTCCAATGAAAAAAATAATATCCCAACCTAACCTAAAGACAGCTTCAAGATTGTTTATGATAACTGATAGTGCCACCCAGAAATCATGTTGTGTAGCTATGAATCCTCTTAATGAGACATTAAAAACCCATATGGGAGCAGAGCCATAGTTGCTGCAAACAGTGAAATAAGTACTGAAACCAAAATAAATTAAGCAAAGATTACATTATTATTGTAAGCCTAAAAGACAGGGTGATTAGTGAGCTGCTAGTTAAATTTTAAACTTTATTCCTTATATTATTAACTTTTATTTACAAACACATTTTCACCCCTAGCTGCTATATCCTGGGAACAGTAATACATCCTTGAGATATAAGAAGACAAATGCTAGTTTTAATAATCGTTATCGTTTCTTTTCTAATTGAGGATAGTAAATCTCCATCATAACCCAGTGAAGCAGATAGCATCATAGCACTCATTGTACATATAAAGAAACAGAAACACTATGTATTAGTTTGCTAGGTACCATTAAAAAGTACCGCAGACCAGATGGCTTAAACAACAGAAATTTGTTCTCCTATGATTCTGGAAGCCAGAGATTCAAGATTAAGGTGTTAGTAAAGTTGATACTTTTTTTGAGCCTGTCTTCTGGGTTTGGACATGGCTGTCTTCTCCCTGACTTCTCGTTGTCTTATCTCTGTGCATATCTGTGTCCACATTTCCTCTTCTTGTGAGGACACCAGTCATATTGGATTAGAGTCTACTAAAATGAGGTCATTTAACTTACCTCTTTGAAGACTCTATCTTTAAAAACAAGTCGAATTCTGAGGTACTGAGGCTTAGGGGTTCAACATATGAATTTTAATGAGGAGGCAACACAATTCTGTCCATAATCCACAGAGAGGTTAAATAATTTGTGCAAGTTCACATTGCCAATTTTGTGGCAGAACTTGAATGTCTGTTCCAGAATGTGAGCTTTCACTCACTACATTATTTTGCCTCTTGATAGTGCATGATCCTGGACCCTGGGAAGTGTAGAATATAGTGGGCAAAGGCAAGTTAAAAAAAAAAGGTTAAAACACAATGTGATGAAAGTTGTAATAAAAATATGCACATGATCCTATGGAAGTATATAGGCACAGAAACCTTTCCAGCAACTATATGAGGACATGTTTGGATTAAATGCAATGCATATTCACACATGGATAAATCTGACAGTGTTTACCTGTTAGAAGTGCCAGTTTACAATAGAGAAGTTAAGCACAAACTCTTGTTTGATGCGCCATTTAAACCCTGTAGACCTCAGATTATCATGAGATGATAATAAGGCACACATACCTCATCTTAGCCTCTAAAATATTTTTCTAGTTACAACATTCTATAATTTCCCAATAAGCTGTTAGATGTTGAGAGAAAACAAGTGCAGGAATTCTAGTTTTGCTACAGGTAGAGATAAAGAATCTGGAAAGACATTATAGAGAAGGTGACTCTTCATTGAGGACATGAATGATGAATTCAGAGAAAGAGGAAGAGAACGAATTTAAGTCAAATGGATGGAGACTTGATTTAAGTTATTAATCAGCAATATAGAAATTATTACCAAATCAGTAACATACAAATTAAACAAATAAGTAATATGCAATTTAATAAAATATTATTCAGATTTCAACAACTCATAAATAATCTTCATTAATATTTTGGCAGTATTTTCCTTCATTCTTTTTCTCCTGTGCTTTATAAACATAATTGGGATTATCCTGTATGAGACTTTAGTCTTCCTTTCTCAAAACCTAACATTATTTATAATAACTTTGCCATGTCATTAGAATAACTGAAATCATCCTTCAAGCCAAAGGGTTGGATGGATGGACATATTTGGCTAGAATTTGAGAAAGAGATTTTCAGGATGTGAAACTAAAAAATCTAACTGAAACAAGTCACAGTTTTGTTTTGTTTTGTTTTGTTTTGTTTTGTTTTGTTTTGTTTTTTTGAGACAGAGTCTCGCTCTGTTGCCGAGGCTGCAGTGCAGTGGTGTGATCTCAGCTCATTGCAACCTCCACCTCCCAGGTTCAAGCGATTTTCTTGCCTCAGCCTCCCAAGTAGCTGGGACTACAGGCGCCTGCCACCACACCTGGCTAATTTTTGTATTTTTAGTAGAGATGGGTTTTCAACATATCGGCCAGGCTGGTCTTGAATTCCTGACCTTGTGATCTGCCTGCCTAGGCTTCCCAAAGTGCTCGGATTACAGGTGTTAGCCACCGTATCTGGCAAGAAGCAAGTCACACATTTTAATGAGAAATCACCTACCTCTCAATGGTTGTTATAATATGCACTGTATATCATTTTTTCCAGGCTCACTGCATTTGTTTACAAGTCATTTGCACAAGCTAAACGCTACATTTATATCGATGACAAAGTTCAATCTCAAACCCTTATTTGGCTCTCAAATATTCAGAAACCAGATGGCTGCTTCCTGAATTTTGGCAAAGTCTTCAACAATGCTTTGAAGGTACCGATGAAATTCTACCTTACAGTTTCCTGTTCTTTCATCACAACTGTTTAGTGAATCCCAAAGTACTACTGAAGAAATTGGTAAAAATTACTGAACTGGAATTTTGGTAAAAATTATTGAACTGGAGGCCGGGCTCAGTGGCTCACGCCTGTAATCCCAGCACCTTGGGAGGCTGAAGCAGGTGGATCACAAGGTCAAGAGATCGAGACCATCGTGGTCAACATGGTGAAATCCCATCTCTACTAAAAATACAAAAAAAAAATTAGCTGGGCATGGTGGTGCACACCTGTAGTCCCAGTTACTCGGGAGGCTGAGGCAGGAGAATTGGCTGAACCCAGGAGGCGGAGATTGCAGTAGGCCGAGATCGTGCCATTGCACTCCAGCCTGGGTAACAAGAGCAAAACTCCGTCTCAAAAAAAAAGTTATTGAACTGGAATTTCTATTAGCATAAACTAACTATCCTGAAAACCAATAAAATGTTTCTTTATAGCAAATGGAACATTTTCTTTCCTTCAATCAGGTTAAAACCTCTAGAAGATTCTAACAGTAATTGTGGTGACTGGGGACAGGGTGCAGTGACAAGATTATTAGTAAAGTGTGAATGAAGAGATAACAGAATCTGGATAATTCTTAATAGTTTAGTGCTTTATAATTTAAGAAACTCTTTATTAATATTGTTTTATTACTAGAATTCAATTTGTTTCACTCTTACTTGCTAATATCCCTGAGTTAAGTGTTCATAATGAATACGCCTTTTATTTCTGAGGTTTTTTTAAAACTGATATTTTCTTCATACTTGTTATAGTAGTACTTATTTATTGAAAGTAGCTCAGAGATTTCATACAAGGAATTAACCAAAATATTATTCATATGTCAACAACTCAGAAATAATCACCATTAATGTTTTGGCAATATTTTTCTTCAGTCTTTTTACCTATGTGTTATAAACATAATTGAGGTTATCCTGCATGAGTTTTTGGTTTTCCTTTCTTGAAAGCTAACATATTATTTATAATAACTCTGCCATGTCATTAGAATAACCTAAAAACATAAAATTAATAGCTGCCTAAACATCATTGTATGAATAAACCAAAACTTGTTTATTACTCTTGCTTGAGCTTTAAGTAATGCTTAATAAACTCAACATGTTTTGTTTACATTCTTATCTGAAAATGTGCCCCTAGCTCATTATTGACTTAGAATGGCATCTAAAATTGTAATTTTTTATTATAATAATATATGTCCAAAATATGTCATCTCAACATGTAATTAATATAAAAATGTTAGCGAGGTATTCTTTTTGTCCTCTGAAGCCTCATAAAGTATAATTTTTTAATTACACAATATGGATTCTTTTAACATATAGAGTATCTGATTCATAGCACTACTGCTAACTCTGAGTAATATAAGTATGAAAACAAAAATATTTGAAAATATAGAAAAATATGTTTAATGTCTATTTTTGCATATAGGTTAATTGGCCCAAAAGTAAGATATGTTTCATATATTTTTTTAGATGAAGTCTTACTCTGTTGCCCTGGCTGGAGTGCAGTGGCACCATCTGCAACCTCCACCCCCCCAGTTCAAGCAGTTCTTCTGCTTCAGCCTCCCAAGTAGCTGGGATTACAGGCATATGCCAGCATGCCCAGCTAATTTTTGTATTTTTAGTAGAGATGGGGTTTCACCATGTTGGCCAGGATGGTCTCATTCACTTGAACCTCATGATCCACTCACCTGGGCCTCTCAAAGGGCTGGGATTATAGGCTTGAGCCACCTTGCCCAGCCTGTATGATTATTTTTAGTTTAATTTTTCTCCTTTGTAATTGCCCTTTAATCTTTTGGAACTAGTTTGATTTTCTTTATAACTAATGTTATTAACCTGCTAGAGTTTATTTCAATATGTCATGTAATTTATGTATAATTTGCTTCTATATTCTAAATAGTTCATCATTTATCATGCCATCTCTGGGTTATTTAATGAGTTCTGTTCCTACTGATTTTCAAGGCCAAATTTGTTATATTGTTTTCTATACTTGATATGATTTCTTTCTCCTCTACCTATTCTATTGATTGATCTGCTGCTTATAATACTATAAAACATTTCTATTTTATACTATATTCTTTTAATCATTGTAATATCACAGCATGCTTTTTTTCATGATACTTTTTATGTTATTTCTAGGGTAAATATGAGGGTGATAATTGAATTTGAACTTTGCAGAACATGCTTTCCCTCCTTTGATTCTAAATGCCTTTTGAGGCCCACAAGTTATTTCTACAAGTGATGTTCCCATTTCTATAAATTTTTCAGATTTTTGCTCACTATTTCCTAATTTTCATAAACAGTATCTTTTGAGGATATGAAAAACTTCACCTCCCAAAAATGTAGGAAGAAACAACCAATCTGAGATTTCAAATATATTAGATTTAGAAAAACCCTTCCTGTAAATTCCATGAGACTGACAAGTTATCCATACATTTCATTCAGGGAAAAGAAGATGATGAAATCTCTCTAACTGCCTATGTTATCAGTGCCCTGCTTGAAGCTGGCCACACAGTCTCGGTATGTAGCCCACTGGTGATACTTAGAACATTTTATGCCAACAATATAGTAATAGGAACTAGAACTATATGTTTGTAGCTACCACATATGCTGAATAATGCTGAATGAATACCCTTCTGAAGAGTCAAATTACACTGTGCAGATGGAACTATATAGAAATTAAAATGAATGTGTTACATGTGCCCTTTGAACATTTCAGCACAGACAAGATTTACTCCTGATATTTTTCCAGCAGTGATCATGTCTACATTTGTGTTTTTGTATATGTTTTTGTGTGTACATTTGATTTTTTCTTTTTTAATCTTTGCAGTTTACGGTTATTCAAAAGGGTCTCCAGTGCATAGAGACTGTATCTAGGGAGAGAGCTGTGACTACTTATGAACAGGCTCTCCTAGCCTACACTTACAGTTTGGTAGGCTATGAAGACAAAAGGGAATTCTTCTTCAATGAGCTGAGCAAAAAAGCAAAAAGAGAAGGTGAGTGTTTTTGACCTTTCCTGGAGTAACATGCAGGATAAGTAGAATGGTTGGCAATGGGATAATTATCATTCCCTTGTGTTTCTTTATTACCAGTTGTAAGGTGTGCACTCCCTCAAATACCACTCATCTGATCACACACAGGTGTATCCCATGCTTTGACAGACGCTGTTGAATTTCTTTCACTTTTTGGTCAGGTGGCTCTGTGTACTGGGAACTGGAAGAGTCGTTTTCTATGAAAGGATCATCGTCTTTCTACTACCCTCAAGCTTCCTCCGCAGTTATAGAGATGACCTGTTATGGGCTGTTGGCTCTTCTTTCCAAGCCACGGCTAACTTCAGAAGAACTTTCCTACGCCTCTCAGATTGTACACTGGGTGGCAAAGCAGCAAAACTCCCGTGGAGGTTTCTCTTCCACAAAGGTAACTCTATACTTTTTAAAATTTATAAGTACAAGAAATTTGAGCACCTGCTTTGCATTGGTGGTATTGGTCTTTAAATTTATATATTGCATTTATGGAAATAAATGAGCTTATTGTCACAATTAAACTTGCTATCATTTTTCAATTTGCTGTCTTTTAGGTTTTTTACAGATGTAGCATTTTTATCTAGTAATCTCTAAATACTTATTCAAAGATACTTTAATTTTTAAAATAAAAACTTAAGTACTAACCTACTAAATGTTCTATGTAAAATTAGCTACAATTTTATAAGATAAGGTGTATCAATTTGCATTATTATCTGCAGTGAGTACCTTTCATGATATAATTTCAAAATCATTTCACAATAAAAGTAATAATTTATTCTGTAAAAATAAATCTCACTGTTTTCTACTTAGAATATGCTTTCATTTTTTGAAGATCTCTTTTATTTCACATGTTATAAATTTTCTGGTCATATGATTTGCACATTTCCTAATAGGAATATTAATCTTTTCCTTATGTATAAGACTTCTGAATATAGTAAATTTATCCTTGTCAACTTTTTATTTTTCTTCCAATTTTTATCATGCCTTAAATATATAGATTATTTTCATTTTCAGTCCATGTAATTATTCTCCTGAAGATTATCACTTTAAAACTGAGTAATACTCAACACAAAAAAATTACATAAATATTAACCAGACTTTCCTGTACTATAAATTCTTTGTATTTCAATTACTAAATCATTTTATGGGATATATTTTGATTTTATAGTATATAATTTTATGAGATATAATTTTATAGGATGTATTTTGATAGAGTTACAGTAGAGACCTAACTTTAAATGGTGAGCTAGTTGTCTTAGTGTCATTTATGTAATAATTAATTATCCCAATGATTTGAAATGCTACTGTTATTGAAATATAAAGTCATATATATTTTCTCATCTTTTTAGCCTTTTTGTTCTTTCCATTGATGTTTTAGCTTTTTTGTATGTTTTAATACCTGGTAAAACAAAGCCTGATTTGGTAGGCATTTAAAAAATTTTATTGACACTTCTTACATTTTTATTCTATTAAATGATGTTTTGTCTGTGTTAAATAATTGAATAGAAATTTTGCTGCAAACCACATTTATTTTTTTAAATTATACAGCACCCAAGACAGCATAGTTAACAAATAAAGCAAAATGCATGAAAAAAATATAATGGCATTTTAAATTATTTTTAAACGAATCACAGCTGTATTTGACTGATTGCTAAACCCCATGGTATGCTTTAATACAATCTGCCATTTTTATTTTAGGATACCATTGTGGCTCTCCAAGCTCTGACTCTATTCCAGAGGCTCACTTTCTCTAAGAGCAGACAAAATTCAGTGCAGATTTTCTCTGACCAAGCATTCAATACAGCCTTCCAAGTGAATGACAAGAATCGTTTGTTGCTACAACAAATTCTATTGCCAACAACTAAGGGAAAGTATACAGTGGAAGTGAATGGCAATGGCTGTGTTTATGTGCAGGTAACTTGGAGCTTGTTTACCCTCAACTTATCAAAAATTATAATCTAAGTGAAACTAGAAAGAATAGTATATTGAATAACTAGATTCAATAATTTGTTCACATTTGGTCATTTTTGCTTCACCTTGTTTTGCTGAATTGTAAAGTAAATTAGAGATATCACACCACTCCTAAATATGTTATATATGCATCTCTTAAAAAAAATAAAAAGGATATCCCATTACATAACTGCAATGACGTTATCAGAGTAAACACAAATTAACAATAGCCTGGCCAGGTACAGTGGCTGATGCCTGTAATCCCAGCACTTCGAGAGGCTGAGGCTGGCTGATCACTTGAGGTCAGGAGTTTGAGACCACTCTGGCCAACATGATGAAACCCCATCTCTACTAAAAATACAAAATTTAGCTGGACGTGGTGATACAATGCCTGTAATCTCAGCTACTAAGGAGACTAAGGCAGGAGAATTGCTTAAACCTGGGAGATGGAGGATGCAGTGAGCTGAGATGATGCCACTGCACTCCAGCCTGGACAACAGAGTGAGTCTGTCTCTAAATAAATAAATAAATAATAGTTTGTTTTATGATATGTTTTAATTGTCAAACCTCTATCCCCAAATATGCTTTATGGTTTTTCAAGCCAGGATTTAATCAAGGATCATATTTGTTATGGTTCTCAAGTCTCTTTTAACCTAACAGATCTATCAAGTTTTTTGTGTTTTTTGTGACATTAATTTTTTGAAGAGATCAGGCCAGTTGTAGTATAGAATTTCCATAATTCTGACTTTATCAGATTGTTCTCCATCAAATTTGTTGTCTCATTCTGTGTCTTCTGTAACTAAAAGTTAGATCTCTATATATACTGTATCACATCCAGAGGCACATCATGATTAGTGATGTTAAGTTTTATCCCTGGGTTAAAGATGGTGACAGCCATACTTCCCCATTAATGTTGCTGCTTTTTTCTTCTTTGCACCAGCAATTAACATTTAAAATATTACATTGGGATCATGCAAATGTTGAGTTCATCATCAACTTTTACCTAAAAGTCTTAACATGCATTGATGATCTTTGTCTGATCAACCATTTCATTAAGAACTACAAAATGGTGATTTTTTATTTATTTTTTTTTTTTGAGCTGGAGTTTTGCTCTTGTTACCCAGGCTGGAGTGCACTGGTGCGATCTCGGCTCACCACAACCTCCTCGGTTCAGGCAATTCTCCTGCCTCAGCCTCCTGAGTAGCTGGCATGCACCGCCATGCCCAGCTAATTTTTTGTATTTTTAGTAGAGATGGGGTTTCACCATGTTGACCAGGATGGTCTCAATATCTTGACCTCATGATCCACCTGCCTCGGCCTCCCAAAGTACTGGGATTACAGGCTTGAGCCACCGCAAAGTGGTGATTTTCTAATTCTAACACACCTTCTACCTTTATTAGCTGGCATTTCCATACTGTATAGTCCAGTGTACCAGAGTATACTCAATATGTCAAATGTTTCTGAACATTTGCAGTAGTTCCCTTCTTTGACTAGTATATATAGAATTGAAATTAATAATGTGCATATATTACTTCATACTTAAACAGGTATATCTTCTGGAAATATTTCTTGAAGTGGGATTATTAGGTCAAGTTAAGTCTTTAGCCAAGCCTATTATCAAGTCATTTCATGATATTTACCTTAATTCCTGAAGTTCTGACATAGTAATTTTATCAGTTGCTTAAGGCTGAAATCAGATTATTGAAATTATTATCCAAACATAGCACAGATATATTCTAACTCTGCTACTCAATAGCTGTATAAATTTGGACAAGTTAATCATCTCTCTGTCCCTTATTCCCCTCATCTATAAAATGGATGTTAAAAATAGTATCTACCTCAAGGGGTTGTTGGAAACATTATATAAAAAGCATTTAAAAGTAATTACAGAGTATATGTTCAATGTGTCAACTAAAGTTACTAGTGTTACTAATTATGCAGAAAAAAAAAGCAGAGAGGTAAAAATTAACTTTTGGCCAGGTGCAATGGCTCACACCTGTAATCCCAGCACTTTGGGAGACTGAGGCGGGTGGATCACAAGGTCAAGAGATCGAGACCATCCTGGTCAACATGGTGAAACCCTGTCTCTACTAAAAATACAAAAAAATTAGCTGGGCATGGTGGCGTGTGCCTGTAATCCCAGCTACTCAGGAGGCTGAGGCAGGAGAATGGCCTGAAACCAGGAGGCTGAGGTTGCAATGAGCCGAGATTGCGCCGTTGCACTCCAGCCTGGGTAATAAGAGCAAAACTCTGTCTCAAAAACAAAAACAAAAAGTTAACTTTCAAGTTGAAATGTTAATGTGGAGGTAATAAGTTTAAAATTATTCCTTTAGTTAATAAATAACATATTCTATATTTATTCAAGTCTACTCTGAGATATAACATCCTGCTCCCTAAGAAGTCATCTGGATTTTCCCTTTCTGTGTATACAGCCAACGTTTTCTGCAGAGGATTATTTGATGGAAAATTTGACCTTGTTGTTTCAGCCAGGTAACTACTCTTTTTTTTGGTAATCATAGATATCCCTCTTCCTCTAATTCAGGTAGCCTAGTGTCTTTCTCTGCCTCAGAGTGAAACCACATCCCAATTAGGGTATGTGAAAGATTGTCCTGTCTTGATCCTCTTGGAAACTATATTTTATCTTGTTTAAATTGCCTAAATTTTATAAGATTATAGTAGGTGCAAAAATAAATCTGGCTTCGTAAAAATATGGAAGAGAAGGAAGTTGTAAAGGAAAAAAGTTCTATAAATTCCTCCTCAAGTGGTACATTTTCTTAGTTTCCAGTTTGCAAATCAACACATTGAAATCTCTCAAATTTTGAAACATCAAAATCTAAATTAAGACTATCAGACCCAGGTTGAATTCTCTGAGTCCACTTAGGAATGAATTAAGATGTATGTTGTGTCATTTCTGAGCACTACTCACTTCAGTTTATAATTAGATTATTCTGATCTCAGAACAATAACCTCTATAAGGGGTATGATAAGATAAACTTTTTTGCATGTAACTTTGTTTTATTTTTAATTTGTTTTCCTAAGTAATGATGAAAGTTTATCTGAATTTTAAATTTTGTACTTTTAAAAAAATGAAGTTATTATGGAAAGCGCAACTCTTCCAACATGGCAATCATTGATGTGAAGATGCTTTCAGGATTTGTACCCGATAGACCATCAGTTAAGAAGGTAAAGATTTAAATGTCGTCAACTGAAATAACTTCAGAATAGATGAAATGTGTTGGGGCCTGTTCTATGCTAAACATTGGCCACAAGTTTATTTTTAAAAAAGGAATACATTTTCTATTCTTAAGGAGTAAATTCGAATCTTATGTGTGTCTAAAAGTAAAACGATGAGATTCTCAAAATAATTTATATTCCTATGTTGTCAAAACAGAATCATTAAAAAACAGGTAGATGAGTTAGTGTTTAGTTATTATTATATTCATTCTGTTATTCTATTTATTTAAAATTAGAAACTAATATTATACAGACAGATGCCTCAAAAATGTTGGATGAATAGATCTCCAAAATTAATGTTTGTTGTTGAGATTTTATAGAAACATTGCAAGTTTTATAAAGATACAGGAAAACTACGAAGTTGAAATAAAATATTTTATCTTTGGATAACTAGATGTTTGTATTCCAAATTCCCTGAATTTTCAGCACACTTTTCTTTCTTATTTTTAGCTTCAGGAAGATGGCAAAGTACAGCGAGTAGAAATCAAAACCACCCATGTCTTTTTCTACCTGGAGAATGTAAGTTTACTGTCATAACTTGGTTTGTGTGTTGATGTATATGCTTGATGCACAAAGTGATTTTACTTTTGTCCTTGTTTTTGATGTTTAAAAAAGTTTTCCTAACGGCATACATATCAAAATAGTGTTGCTAAAATAATTCTGAATATTTGAAATGGAGAGAAATTGAGGGAATACATCTCAATATGCATAACAATGTTAATTTATTCTCAGGTTACTCAAAAAGAAATTCAGTTCTCATTCTCTGTCAAACAAGATGCACTGGTATCCAACATCAAGCCAGCATCTGTTCAGCTTTTTGATTATTATGAAACTGGTAAGAATTGTATTTAGTAATTGCGATTTTTATCATTAAGTAATTGTGGGTTTTGCTATTACATTCAAATAAAAAACCACAATTAGTCTTGCACCAACCTACGTAGTTAAACCGATCTTCATTTTCTCTACTGGTGTTATAGTTCCTATTGTTGAAATCTTTTTCTCTTATTTGATGTTTTGTAACTTTTCATACTACCTAATACAAAGAGCATCAGAATTTCAAGAGCAAAATTTGAGGTTTTTTCTATGTGGACACCACTGGTATGATTTTTCTCAAGCAGTCTTTTCACTAAAATATTCATTAAAATTATTGGAAAATAAATGTGAAGTAGGCTATCTGGCTGACTATAGATTAGGCAAAATAAAGTTAATGGCTATGAAGGTTGTCGTACAGTTTATCTATTAGTGTGAATTACAGGATATAGAAATTATATGTTTATTTGAATAGGGAAAGAGACATATACTATTAGAGATGACAGAGATATGTTAGTGAAAATATTCTTATGAAATGTATTTTTAAAGCCGCAATCATTTATTATTCCTCATAGTTCTATGGATCAGCCAAGCCCTTTGGTTTAGGCTGACTGATTGGCCTGATTCAGCTCTTCCCTCTTTGAATTGCACCTAGAATTCACCTGGTGAGTTGGCCAGCTGATGATCTAGGAGGCCTCATTCATATGTCTAGCACTGGACTGGCTCTTGATTGGAGGCTGGCTGACTGCCAGCGGAATCAACTTATTCTTGCTTCTCATCCTTCAACAGGCTAGTCTGGGTATCTATCTATTTATCTAGTTAGCTATCACCTACCTATGTATTGCTCAGCACAGTGAAATTTTAAATAAAAAAATTTATAATCAGAGCTACTTAGTCAGGTAACTTTGGGTTTCTAGTTGTTGTTTTTTTTTTTTTAAACCAAGTTCTTATTGTATTGCTATTGTTTCAACCAAGACTCAAGAAGGTAAATTCTTACTAACACCGAACAAGTAAGTAGAAGAATAAGATCTCTAAATGAAGTCTTCTGTTTTGAAATTGAAACTTATCTGAACACTGTACTTTTCTTAGATAAAAATTCTGTCTATGAATACATTAAAATATACATCTAATAAGTTTACCAATTAAAAAACTAAAAGGACAAGTTAATTATTTTCAAGTCAGATTACCTCAGCCAATCAATGACTCACAGACTTTTGGAGAAAAAAACCCTGTTTTATACATAGTATCTTGATAAATATTCAGTCAAAAAAAAGGGAGTGAATCAATAGTGATACAAACTATTAAGTATTTAGGGTAAATCAACAGTGATTTACAAACTTTGGGTACCTTCATGTTTGTTAAGTACATCTTTACTCCTTTCCAAAAACCTGGATGATTGAACTAAGACTTCACTATCCATCCAGCTATATAGACACTTTATTCTAGAAGAGAAAGCCCTAACCTCTGTTAAGTTTTAATACGTGTCATATACAAATCATCATACCTGAAACTCTTAAGAATAAACATATAGGTATGGATGCAATGTGATGTAATTCAGAAGGATAAAAATACAGTATATTTGGAAGTTGTTAAGTAAAGAAACTGTTATAGTAGCATAGATTTAGGGGAATAAATATATAAGAAGTAAAGATAGTTTCTTCTTTAACAATGTTGTAAAACTTTCTAATGACAATTACTATCTTTCAGATGAATTTGCACTTGCAGAATATAGCACACCCTGTGGTCAGATGTCTTTTGAAACCTTATTCTAGGATAAGAAGAATGAGATGTAAAAGAAGATACTTTGTAACTGGGCTATATGTCAAGTTTGTTCCCGGAAGCGTTAAGCCTGCACTTCCCAAAATCTTCAACTGGCAGAGACCAGGGCCAGTAGACAAATGCTCCTGCCTTGGCCTTTAAGTCAAGAATACTGGGAGGCATTCCAAATGCTTCTCATGAAGTCCCCTTGAAATCCATCTCCCAGATTTTCAGGAAGCAGCCTCCTCAACAAATCCATAAATTAGCTTTTTTCCATTTTTATCACAGTCTCCCTGCTCTCTCACTCATGTTTCCTGGGATCCCCTCTGAAATGAATTATCTGCATCCAAGCCCTTACCTCAAATTCTACCTTCAGGACAACCCAAGCAGAGAAAGCCTATCCCATCAATCACTGAATGACTAAAGAAAATACTTTGTTAGGTAAGGAATATTCTAATGTGTTGATACTTTAGTTCTGGTACGTGTTTCTGAAGAATTTCTCTGGGAACTGTGAAAAAGTAAGAACTCATGTTATATAAATGTAAGCATGTTTATTTTCCTTGGCAACTATTGTTGAGTAAAACCTGACCAGAATTCATGGTTGTTTTTCTTTCCAGTAAGAACCTATGTATTTTTAACTTCCATTTTAAAACTGTATTTTCTCTTTCCAGATAAGTTTAGCATGAAACAAATACACCCCTGATCTCCTCCTCAAGCCAATCACTTAGAGTATCATTTCTGAAGATATATTTGTAAAGTTTCCTTGGCAATAACATATTATATACTTGATTTAATTATAAGATCAAATATTCATTAGTATGTTATTAAACAGATATATTTTAGAAAATTATTTTTATACATGTACCTAAACTGTTTACTTATATGTAATTGTTAAAATAAAGGAATAAATGTATGTTGTTGTGAGCCACAAAGTATGAGATAATTTGTTATTGCAGCAATAGAAAACTAATGCTCTATCTCATAAATATCTCAAACATAAGGAACTTAAACATTTCAAATGTCATTTGTCATTCCTAGCTGCTGCCTATCACAGTCAGTCTCCTTCCATACCTGGTCACCCAGTCATCTCATTAATGGCAGTCGCATTCACCAGAATCCTATGGTGCAGGCCCCAGACTTGTGTATTATGCCTATTTCTCCCTGGCTCACAGACTTTACATTCATTAGTAATACGTACCTTTTATACTTCCAAAATCAATGTTCTTTAAAACCTTTTTCGTTTGCTTAGATCTCTTCTCAGTAGTTTTCCATTGTACATCAGATAGCAATGAAGGCTTTACCATAGTGTACAAGGTTTTACATGAACTAGCCCCTGTTTATCTGTCAAATATTATTTCATCCCACTTTCCCACTAAATCTCAGTGACTTCTTTCAGTTCTGGCTGTATTCAAGTATTCAAACCATCCAATATCTAGAAAAGGCCAAACTGTGGAGACAGTGAAAAGATCAATGGTTGCCAGGGTTTGTAAGGAGGGAAAGATAATTTGGTGAAACACAAAAGGTTTTAGGGCAGTGAAACTATGCTGCATGACACTATAGTGTATGTTGGATGCATGTCATTATACATTTGCCAAAACTCATAGAATGTACAACACCAAGAGTGAACTTGAATGTGAACTATGGTCTTTGGTGATAATGATGTGTTAAGTAACTTCATCAACTGTTAACAAATGGACCACTCTGGTGCAGAATATTGATAGTGGGGGAACCCGTCCATATGGGAACAGAGGGTGCTCATGAGAGCTCTCTCACTTTCTGCTCAAATTTTCTATAAAACTAAAACTACTCTAAAAATAAAATGTTTCATAAAGATATTAAGGGTATCTTCATTATTGCTGCAATAATGGAGGTTTTAAAACCCAACCCCGACCTCAGTGGCTTCCAACAATAAGTATTTATTTCTCCTTCTTATTGATCTATGGATCAGATGTGGCTACATTGGGCTTATTTGGACTTAGCTAACCTTGTGCCCAGAATGATGACGGGTTTTAAGTCTGATCCATGTACCTGTCATCCCATGACAAGGAACTACTACAAAGGCCCTGAGTACAGAGCCTTGACTTGTTCTGTGTAAGAGATGGGTAAATATGTCAGTCACTAAGTAGCAGGCATGCATATCATAGAGGAATGCTAATTAAATAAGGTTGTTGGGTTTTTTTTTTTTGAGACTGAGTTTCCCTCTTGTTACCCAGGCTGGAGTGCAATGACATGATCTCGGCTCACTGCAACCTCCACCTCCTGGCTTCAGGCAATTCTCCTGCCTCAGCCTCCTGAGTAGCTGGGCTTACAGGCACGTGCCACCATGCCCAGCTAATTTTTTGTATTTTTAGTAGAGACGGGGTTTCACCATGTTGACCAGGATGGTCTGGATCTGTTGACCTCGTGATCCACCCGCCTCGGCCTCCCAAAGTGCTGGGATTACAGGTTTGAGCCACCGCACTGGGCTAAATAAGTTTTAATCATTTTTGTTGTTGTTATAAAGAGTGCCTGTAGCTCCTGAATCAATTTCTAAAAATTGTGCCTTCCCAAACATTTATTCTTTGGTCAGCTTTTTAACGTATTTTTTCCTTAATCCTCATTGGCATCACTATGGACCTATGCATGATTTTCCAATAAAATAAAAGAAGGCGTGATTCCAAAGCATAAACCATGTTATAGAAAATTTTACTACAAAAAGTATGATTGAATATATTTCCAAGCATTGATATGCTACTTCATCAAATGGGATTGGCAATCCCATTTGTCAGTTAAACAAAAAAGCATCCATTTTTGCAGGGTGTAAGGACAAATAAAAATTTTAAATAGTTTTAATTTTCTGTTGGAAGGAAGAGACCAATCTTCCCTCCCCTTTTTTAATTTCCTTAGAAAACTTGTTACTTTAAGTCTTTCCTCCTCTTTGAAATGTATACAAACCTTTCTGACCACTGGGTAGGATTTTCATCAGCATTATGAAGAATGCGGGAGCTATTTCTTTGAAACATCAACATCAAAGGAGGTAGCATCCTTATCTGCAGTTTCTGCAGAAGGGTGGGAGGCCAACTTCAATAGACATCTTGCTCCAAGTTAAACTACCTCTTATCATGAAGATAAGAGGAGTTTATTTTTCATTTAGATAAATCCCATTAACACATACAATCACCCCCATAACCACGTGAATCTAGGACGAATTATGTATGATAAACGGTGCAGTCAAATCCCCATAATTGAAGGCTAGTTAGAGCTTATGTTAAGAACATGTATGTAATGGGCTACATCAGCTCAGCAATACAAAAGGCTAAGATATTTTTCTGTCTTTGCAAACTCAGCAGATTGCCTGTGACGCACAACACATTCTGGCTTAATGATTATTCAATAATAAAAGTGTTTTCCTTCTCCAATACCCTTATGGTGAGGACCTCTGGGTTGGTACCTTTTACTTTCATTTATATTTCCCCAACAAGGGACACTTGTAGAAATGAAGATGTCACATGTAGTTTTTCAAGATTACCTTTAGGTGTAAAAGAGAAAAATCATGTAAAAAGTAAGCAAACTAGGGAAAAATGATTGAACAAATGGAGGAATTTGCCTCAGACTAGAATTGAAATAAAGCATATATTAGTGCAGCAGTCCAAAAATACAGATAAACACATTTCAAACTCCTTTTTGTTTTAAATATCACTAATACTGAGTCAGGAAAAACAGACATCTGCCATTGCCCCCACCAAGGTTGGTTTGTTTGAAGGACCAAATTTAAAGCCAGGCAATCAGGAAGTGGAAAAGAATTCCTTGGTTTCTGAGAGTGACTATGATGGAGGGTGTGAGTTGAGAACAGAGAAGATACTAAGGAAAACTTGCTTAGTGCTAGAAGAGAAGTAAGGCAACAGCCACTGGTGAGTCGGAGTCATCGCCCAAAATGGAACCCATCTATATGGCAGCAGAGAGGCCTCCATGACAGAATTGCTCCCAACTTGATAACACTAGGGAGTAAAAGCTAGTGGTTTCAAATACTTGAAATTTCCCAAAGTTCTAATGTGAAGAATACACAAACAAGAACATTTTACAGTGATATAAAATGGAAAATGAAGTCATAAATTTTGGAATTTAGTTAACATTACATTAAATTAAATTGAATGATGGGTGTGATTTGTATTTTTATTAAGGTAATCTTGCACCATAAAAAGAAGAAAAGATTTCTCAAAATGTTGCATGAGTAATGGATGAAGTGAAGAACTGTGCTTCTACTATTTTTTCACAATTTGGCCCCATAATCACTGAATAACTCTTTTCTCAGTAACTTTATTTATTTCTTTGCAATGCTTATTCGGCTTAACAAGGAGCTGTGGCCCTGGGTTCAGATTGGCAGTGAAACTATTAAGCCCACTGGCTTCACCTTATCCAGGTTTGTTTTCTTCAAAAGTGCATAGGGTGAGAAACTTGCTCTGATGGTGGGGTCACTGGCTTTCTGGGTCTCTGAGGTTGCACTGAGCCTCTCTGCAGGCCACTGGCTCTCAGGGTCACCCCCGTCTCCAGGGGCAGATCCTCTGGATTCCTCCTTCCTTTCCTGTGTATAGAGTTAGTATCCACCCAGAGACCTGGTGTTAGCTTCCTCCTCCCTTCCCATTAGAAAAAAAGAAAAAGAAAGGCTGGGCACAGTGACTCATGTCTGTAATCCCAGCACTTTGGGAGATCAAGGCGGGCAGATCACCTGAGGTCAGGAGTTCAAGACCAGAGTGACCAACATGGAGAAACCCATCTCTGCTAAGAATAAAAAAATTAGCCAGGTGTGGTGATACATGCCCCAAGTTGGCAGGTCCTTGGTAAAAGAAAAATCCTTATTTTAATACTATCTATGGAGTCCTAACTGAGGAGAAAGAGGCTGGCAGGAGAACAAGACAGCAAAGAGGAAAAAGCCGATAAGCTATGTGTTTGACTTTCTTTTTGGTCCAGGACATGTAGCCGTCTTGCTCAACTAACTCACAATCTTACTGTGCCCAGCTATCACTACACCCTCAGCTAATAGAAAAATGCAAGTTAACTCACTGCAGCCTTGGCATTATCAATACTGTGCAAAGCCCTCTTCAGCACACAACACAGGCACCATTCTATAAAATCCCCAGCAACGTTTTTCAAGAAATAATAATAAACTAGAAGAATGTAAAAGAGAATGGCATTCTTTCTTTCTTACATTAAGTAATATTTTTAATGATTTTGCAGAATATATTTGTGTGTGTGTGTGTGTGTGTGTGTGTGTGTGTATTCATCTATGTCACTAAGAAAAGGGGAAGAAGGCCCTGTGATCTGCTGATAAAACCATATAATTGACTCTGTTATATTATTGCTTGCACAAAGACTGACTTCACATCATCTTTAGTTATTCCTAACTCATTCTTCTGGAAATATTATTCCTTCTTTCTCTATTAAATATGCGCATACAATTCAATTTGTCTATTGATCTTTTCATATACTTTTTTTAAAAATTGTACTTTGGGTTCTGGAGTACATGTGCATGTCCTGCTTCCTGCAGGATTGTTCCATAGGTACATACATGCCATGCTGGTTTGCTGTCTCCATCCTCCCACCCCATCACCTACATCAGGCATTTCTCCCAGTGTTATCCCTCCCCAGCCTCCCCACCCCCCTGCTGTCCCCCAGTCCTCTCCCTTCCACCCCCACACCTAGCCCAGTGAATGTTGTTCCCTTCCCTGTGCCCGAGTGTTCTCATTGTTCATCCCCTGCCTATGAGTGTTTGGTTTTCTGTTCTTGTGTCCATTTGCTGAGAATGATGGTTTCCAGATTCATCCATGTCTCTACAAAGGACACAGATTCACCATTTTTTATGGCTGCATAGTATTCAATGGTGTATATGTGCCGCATTTTCTTTGTCCAGTCTATCATTGATGGGCATTTGGGTTGGTTCCAGGTCTTTGCTATCGTAAACAGCACCTCAATGAACATATGTGCTCATGTGTCTTTATGATACAATGATTTACAATCCTTTGGGTATATACCCAGTAATGGGATTGCTGGGTCAAATGCTATACTTTTAAGAGAGAAAAAACAAGTGTTATGTCTCATGGTCATATAATTCTTTCATTTATTTATTCAACAAATAATTATAGAATGCTTGTTATTAGTGGATATACTTCTCAATAGCAAGAAACAGTGAAAAACAAGACATCTCTGCCTTATATTCTAGAGAGGAGAGATAGGCAATAAATAAGAAATATAAGTAAGTTCATTATATAATATGTCATAAAATGACAAGTGCTATTTTTTTGAAAGGCACAGCAAGGAAGATCAAGAGTACCACAAGATTGGGAGTTAGACTTTACAATTTTAAATGCTGTGATCGGGGTAGACCTCACTGAGAAGCTGATAGATGAACAAAGGTTTAAGGTGGTGAAGAAGTTAGCTATCAAAACATCTGCAGAAGAACAATACAGGAGAAGATAACAAAAGATGTGAAGGCTTCAAGTCAAGTAGAAAGATTCTCAACTGCCAAAGAAAAGCAAGAAGTTTCGTATGGCTGAGGCATCGAAGGTAGAAGAGTCAGCAGGTTGGAGTTGTGGTAACTGGGACTCCCGGGGTATGCATATGCAGATGTGGAACATTTCATTCTCCTGAGCAAAACTACGATTGCTGACTCACTAAGAAGAAGAAAGACTAGTCTGGAATGACTTAGAATGAACACACCTGTGTTTCTATAAGTGGAATTTTATGATTTGTAATGTGTTTGTGTATACGTGTGTGTGTGGAATCTTATGCTTAGTTCTATATTCATGGGATTCATTGACGTTGATGCAAATGACATTATTCCATTTTATTGAAAAACACCATATAGTTTTAATTGTATGAATATACCACAATTTACATATCCTGTTGTTGGACATTTGAGTTTTTTTCAATTTAGAGCCATTACAAATAATGCAACTGCAAATGTTCTCATTCGGGACTTTTTGCACATTTGCTGTCACTCTCCTTGGTATTTATGTAATGGTAAAAATTGCTGCTGCAGAGGTCATGTGGATGGTGAATTCTAGTAGATAATGATGATTCATTTTCATAACTGGATGAGAGGTTCGGTTGCTCCACATGCTCACTAAAACTTGGCATTATGAATCTTAACTTTAACCATTTTTTAGGGTATGTAGAGTATTTCATTGTGGTATTAATTTGCATTTCTCTGGAGACCAAGTACTTTTCATATATTTATTAGCTATTTGGGTATTCTGTTGTGTAAGATGCTAGGTCTTTTTCTAACTTATTTCTGGAAGTCTTCAATATATTCTAGGTATAAGCATTTGTCAATTATATGTAAAGAAAATAGCATTTTCTTCTCTGTGACTTTTCCTTTCACTCTCCTAATAATGTTTTTAATGAATCGAGAATTTAATTTTAATATAATAAAGAAGACTGGGCTGGTAGAAGATTATTTTTCCACCAGGGTAGTTTTGAATAATGTGTACAGAAGGAAGTGCTACTGCAGTATTGACTAAAGCAGGCAGGTGGAATTACAGCTCAGCTGACAAGCCCTCTGGCCTGATCTCTGAATATTAGTATAGTGTCATATTAAGTGTGAGTCTTTCTTATAAGATGAAAAGCACATTCATCTTTTTTTTATCATTTGTTCTGCCTCTCAGAATCCATGCAGG